TATTTAGTTACGTGTTAATCAAAGTTAAACAGGCAGGTAAGCCAGGTTCCATTTGGCCCTCATAGCATGAAATGATATCGGGATCGACCTCGAACGTTTATTTTCAAAATGGTGCTCGATCACTGGACAGAAAAACGTGATATTTTTGTTTTAGATCTTAATGTTTATACAATAAATATCATAGCGTAAGTAAAAAATAATTATTTTCAAAAGTTGTTTTATTCGTATAAACCCGCATTGTATAATTATAAAGTGAAATAAAAACGTTTCTGTAGTTGTTTTGAACCAAAAACGCTTGACCGAAATCGAAAGAAGGAATCATTCAGGTAAAATTGCTTGAAATTACTAAAAATGGCCGGGAAAATCACCGTCGTTGGTAGCGTTAGACAGTTGCTCGTTAAATACAGGCAGAATATATAAGGAAAAGCGTTGGCGGGACTTTTAAGGTCACATAAGACAGTGAGTCGCCTAATACAGTGGGTTGCTATGGAAGTTTTGACTGTATTTGTCTTTCCACAATTTTTATTTAAATATAAACTTTGTTATTATGACTACTTTCCTCCCTGTTTAAATTTCTTTCGACCTTGAAAGCTCAAATTTAGGAAAATTAAGATAAATTTGCATATGTACAAATATTGTGTATCTGCAATAAACCATATCATGATTTCAGTGAAAACAGAAAAAAAAATATTTACACATAACATAAGAACTCATGACATTATTTGTCGCAAAGTCATTAACTGACAAAGTTACATGTATGACAACTTAACTTTTTGCAATATCATGAAAATTTTAAAAAATGCATCTTGTGATTCATAAAATTAACTTACATATACTGTTAGGTACAATTTAGAGACAGCTGGTTCCGAATATAATTTTTTTTTTTTTTCAAAAGACATTAAACAATGCATAAATGTATTTTGGAATATACATGTTATGGATTAGCTGCCTTGGAATGGAAATGAACAAGCTAATTCAGAGAATTTGTGTCCCCCGCTTAGGGAAAAAGTAAACCATGTGCAGTTCGGGGGGAGGGGGGGGGGGGCAGATCCCCTTGGCTGAATTTGTAGAATTATTAAATGCATACATGTATACTGGGGCAAATAAAATATACCAATATGGATAATTTACTTTAGCAAGATTTGATTGCTTATTCTCTATTATGTGTATAGAATATGCTTTTTATATGGAATATTTATCACACTGTAATGATGATTTAATGAGTTTGTACAAGCCAGACCTCATATATCATTTAGTAAAAAAAAGTATTTTCGAAAAAATAAATTGGATCGTCTGAGATGCGAACCTTGACCCTCTTACATCTGAAGCGAGAGACATACCACTAGACCACGGAACTGCTGTTTAGTGACACAAGTTATATGCAAAGATGAAGTCACATACATGTATATATTCACCTTCGATATTGTCAAAATTCTACAAAATGCATGGTGTCTATTTTAACCTTTATTAAACAGTTCTAATAGATGTACGCAGCACAGTTAAGGTTACAAAAAGGAGGCGGAGCCTAGTTTGTACGGGAAAACTTGACTATGACATCATACACATATATGTCATACAACATTTCTTTAAAATACCACAAAATGAGCTGATATGCTAATTTAACCAGTAAGAAATCATCAAACTACATAAAAACTTAATACAGCGTGCTGTTTTGTCGTTAGTTAGATCCCACATAACAAGTTATAAACAAGTCACTGATCGCAATACACTTGTCAATATGACGTCATTTCTTACAACGTGACGTAGTTTGTATGCAGTGACAAATCAAGTAATATTTTCTCAACAAAATATGTATTCTCTAATTAAATAAAATATTATTTACATATATTCTATGGGCCAATAACTTGAATTTAATGTCTTCTTCACTATTTTATTAATTTATTTTCTGTACATTACGTATTTAATTAATCTAATCGATCTAGTGCAAGGGCATACACTCTATGGATCAAGGTAAGCTTTTACATTTTAACTATAAAACTATAATGGTATCTGAAAAGTGCATCGACCCTGATGAAATCTTAAAAACAACTTAATTATATCAATATTTCATGCCGCTGACCAGCAAAAAATATACCATTCGGTCATACAAGTATAAATTTAGCAATAAAATTGCAGAATTTAGACAGGATCGCAGTACTTTTTAGAAACTACAATGCTAGTTGAAAATATCTATAAACTAAGCTTGAAAATTTAACTTGGTTATGCCCTTGCACTAGTGATATTATATGTAACATCAAAACTTCAAGTCAATGTGCTAAAATCGCGTGACTGCCGCATCACGTGACTAGTTTAAATATAAAATATAATTGTCCTCGACATATAGTTATTAATCATAATTATAATTATCAGACATAAAAAATATACAAAAGATAATCGCCATCCCGATTACGAATACATTTTAAATACAAAATTTAGTCGATATTTCCATTGCGCACCTTAACTGTACTGCGTAATAAGAATATAAAGTCCACTGAGAACCTGTTGTAAACGTAATAATTCTCCTCATGCCCCCGTGCTAAAAATAGCGACATGTAATACGATAAATACTAATAAAACAAACGGGACGGGACACTTAAAGAGGGGTAAGAGAGGTCCTAGGGAGTTTTGGTATACAATTACATTGCAAAAGCTCAAAATCTTCTTGAAATATCTCCCGGAAAGAAAAGTGCTTCATACAGAGAGAATGTATCAATTTACGACCTTGAACTTTGACCTTTTGACGTCAAAATCAAAAGGGGCCTTCCTTATGCCACAGGGAATTGTTATATAAAATTGCATTGCAAAAGCTCAAAGGGTTTTCGAGATATCGCGCGGAAAAGAATGTATTATAACAGACAGAATTTGGAAATTCATGACCTTGACCTTTGACCTTTTGACCTTAAAATCTATAGGGTTTCTCTATAGTATATAGGTAGTTGATATGCAAAATTTCATTGCAAAATCTCAAAGGGTTCTCGAGATATCGTGTGGAAACGAAAGCGTTACAGACAGACAGAATGACGGACGGACGGACGGACAGACCCAAATCAATATCCCCCACTTTTCAAGCAGGGGACAATAAAATTTGGTAATCAAGTTAAATGAAAAGCATAATTCTGATGAACCAAAATAACATAGGCGCTAAACGTAGAACAAATTTTGTATCCAGTGAAAACATTAATACCAACAACTGTTAGAACTGAAATGGCTTTAATTTGTCAGTGCGTTTGTCTGTAAAAATAAAATTGAACCAATTTGCATTTAATTTACATTAAAGAAAATCCGAAATTGTAATTGTGCCAATATTTGTTTTTGAAAGTCACAATATGACGGACACAATGACAAGTGCATGATTGGAATCAGACAATTGCATGATTGGCAACCTGTAGTAAACTGTTGACTGCTCTTAGCCCTGCATATTGGTTGGGTAGATAGAATAATCAATTTTCAAATTTGGATTATCTATACTTATAAATTAACAAATTTTGGAAATAAATTTTGAAACGGCTGCACGAGAGTTCTTGCTTAAGTCTGTAGGAATACACTAGGTATAAGGTAATGTCCGTAAACTATATTCAGATTTCACTCGCATAGTTATTATCGTAGATTTAACTAAAAATCTACTTTCATTTTCGAATAATAGCCTCGAAATAGCACCAAAGAGAGTAAAGCGGTGGGGGATCCAAGGAACTGGCATATTTAAAAAAAAAAATGACAACGAGCAATCCCTTATTTATTTTATAAAACGCCATTGATGAATTATTTAATCAAAAAGAAAAAAGAACTGTGGTCATTGATTAAAATACAAAATGTGCAAATCCTCTCCGTTTATGTCCGATCTCGATATTTGTTGAAAGTTCTAGAAAGTCAGATTGCATCGAACACGATGTCTAAAAGAAAATCGTGTCGATTGTTTATCATAAATGGAAATGGAAATAAATGGAAAGAAATGTAAAGAAATTTGTATCACAATGAGTTTGTGAATATATCTTAGTAAGTTGTGCTAATGTTTTATAAATAAATGTCGATTAATGGCCATGGTTATTTGTTTAGGTATATAAAAGTACAATTTGATTTTTAAATAATTTATTGATAAATGCTTTAAAAATGTGTTCTGTGATGAAAATATTTCCGTTGATTTTCTACATACACTGTGATACAGTCTTTTTATTTTAAAATCTTATTTATACCTTTTAGGCTGTATATAGATTTGGGATGAAAACTAAACTTTTTTAAATATTTTAAACTGCTGACAAATTACAATCAGTTTTAATTAATAAAATGAGCACATCCATTCTCTTATCCGTGATGTATTGAAAAAAGGTCATCTGAACTACATAATGAGCAATAATATATTTCAAAATAATTATATTAAAATAAAGTTTCTAACATGTCAAGAGAAAATGCCAGTGAGCACTTGTAGTACATGATGTATAACATAGTACAACAGAATAAAGTTGCTTTATAACATGTTAGAAGAAGAGGTTGATATTTGTAGAATAAAAAAAATCCCAAAATATTAAGAAATGTATTTCTTATAATTTTCTATTTTTGTTCCTAAACTAATTGCTGGACTTTGAAGTATATTTTCATGCTATATTTCTGTGTAAAGAAAGACTGTCAAAAAATCTGAAAGATATTTTTTTTAATAGTTCTGTTAGCAGTAAAAAAAATCATTTCCCCATCGCTTGCGCGGGATTTAAGCTAGTATATTATAAATGTCGAAGCTTACAACATATTTAATAAGCAGTGAGCATGTGCTAAGCATATATTTCTACGTATTCTCGTTCTTAAAACAGTAATTATTTTGTCCTTATCGTCTCTACCAGTAGTCTGTAATTCATCCAAATCTACCAAATTAAATCTGAATATGTGCAACCTTTGTGAAGATATATATTCTGGAAAATACAATATTCTACATTTGCGCTGGCTTTGTACATTTTTTTTAATATAAAAAACATTGCTAAACTTCAGTTTTTTCTTAAGGTTATTTTTGATGTTCAACAGTGTTCTAAAGCATACACTACTGTGCCGAGAAAAAGCAAAGAGTAGAAAGATGAAACCTGTAAGTATCTGGAATAGAAAGAATTTACACTTGAAAACATATTGAAATTGTGCGATTAATGCAGGGGTTTAAAATTCTTTCTAATATATTCAAAGCCTGATATTCATCGATTGACCACTGAGATATTTTTTTACACATTTATTTTCTCACAGGACAATACATGTATATATGTCTTTGTAAAATATTTGTCAGAGAGTAACAGGCTTCATAATGGAACTTGTAAAACTTAAACTTAATTATGTACCAGAAATTATGGGAATTGAAGAATAATATAACTATAAGAATTAAATAAACAGGGAAGTTTTGGTATATTTCTAATGTCTTTTCAATTTTTCGGAATAAAAAAATAAATGTGCAGTAATCTAACGCACAAAAACAATTTTGATAAATAAAATCATACTTATTATTTGCTAAATTTTTCGATATTTTCACTGCATTGTTCAACTCTCTATTTTCGTCGTCAGTTTTTATACTTCCTGGAGAATCTATTACATGGTGTTTTACGTGAACTGCCATATTTTTTGATGCATCATCGCCATTTTTAATTTCAGTCGAAGACTTTAAAGGCTGTTGAATTTTAAAACATTCTGGATCTGAAAATAACAAACACAAACATACATGTAATACAGTAAATATTTAATTATATATTTTAATTTTCAAAATATTCAAAAGAGGTATCTGAACTGTTTGGCAAGTGATATTATCGGAAATTCATGCATTTAATGCCATTAATTTTGTTCTACTCTTGTGTCGGATGCAGATAATGAAGGGATATCAATCAGGCCGTTTTGCTGTTGACCAACCAGATAACTCTCCGCACTACCAGAATTTTTTTTTAATTTTGCCTGATACTTCTTCGTTTTAGGGCATAGTTTCTGTAAAGCTATATGAGACTTGTATTTGATAAATATCTCTTATCTTAGTAAATACTTTATCCTGGATCTGAAAAGATCAAACATAAATCTTCACAATTATATCTTATTATTATATACCTAATGTGTATCACCCAATTTTACTGTTGAATTTACGCTATCACGTGACGTGGTGATCCGATTTTCCGGATCACCAACATGTTGTTTTCTGAATCCATATCACCACTCTCTGAAACTGATGACGTAGTACGCAAAAATATGACGTTATTTTTCTTGCGCGTTAAAAAGTCCCTTGTTATTATGCTTTGTTTTATTGATAAATGTAATACAATTGATCTCCAAAGTTTTCTTTTGCTATATATTGCTAGTTATGAGGGGGTATATAATAAATTTATCATTATAACAGTAACTTGATCCGAAGAGCCGTATCACGTCTCGTTGACAGGCGCGTCATTCTAATTAACCGTTTTTTTTCAATATGGCGCGACGTACGTCAGAATAGCGTATTGTTATCGTCAAACAACTCTATCAGATATGTAACAGATGCTAAGCGAAAGTTTGGATCCCAGTTTGATCCCAGCAGGAAACTTGACTAGTCTACAAGATTATATTACATTGGTTCGTCGGAAGCAAATTGAAAAAGGTGGGGGATAAATGTAAAAAAAAAAATAAATACCTTTAAAAACCCTGACAAGCCAAAAAAAGGAAATGTCCATTTCCTAAACACGAAAATTCTATTTCGTGTGTGTGTGTGGGGGGGGGGGGGGAGGTTCGAACTTCAGTACCAATTTTTTTTTTCAAACACCACCACTTTCCCCATTTTTAACCTATACTGCGAAGTGTCTGTGGAAATGGGGGAGGGGGGGGGGGGTAACCTACGAAGCAGTGTTCAATAACTATACTAAGTATATATTTGGAAAAAAGGTAGGGGGCTAAGCCCCGGTTCCAACGTCTATGAATTACCTAAATTCGAGCAACAAGGATCAGTACTTATCAAATGCACCAAAATCAGGTCGACAGAGGTCAAGTCGGAACTATAAATTTGTGCACGCTTCGAGGAATGCTTTGTTACTGTCCAGAGAAATCAGTTAGGTATATGTTCCTCCCCAGAGACCGGAATCCCTAAAACCTGTGTTCATGACATATTTGGGAAGGATCTCAAACTTTTTCTACACAAATTTCAAATAGTGCAGAGTTTGAATATCTCGGGTCAGGTTCAAATATTTGATATTTGTCATTGGGCAGTGACGTTGATAACAGTTATTATAACACAGATGTTTGGTTTTTGGACGAACCACATTTCCTCCTATCTGGACACAAAAATAAACAAACATAAGATTCTGGGGGAAAACAGCCTAATTGTTACACGGAAAGACCACTGCATGGTTAAAACTTAACTGGTAAGTGTGCCATATCGTCACATGGAGTGATCTGCCCTTACATGTTTACGGACACTGTTCATTCACAACGATACCTGTCACTTTTGAAAAACAAATATGTTCCTGCGTTTCGAAAACGAACAGCAAATATGCAAATTGTCTGGTTCATGCAAGATGGTGCAACAGCAAATGCATCTTATTTTGTATTATAGATTATCTCAAAATCTCGAAATGTTCGGAGACAAGGTGTGTGGCAACGCACTTTGAAAAAAATACGCACTTTTCAAAAATATTCATAGTGCGTTAAAATTTGGACAAAATCAACGCACTTTGAAATTTTTTTTCAAAGTGCGTTAAATTTGGGACCAATTCAACGCACATTGAAAATTTTTTTCAAAGTGCGTATTTTTTTCAATATATTTTACCATGGAGACACTTAACGCACTTTGAAAAAATCATGTTTAAGTCATGGAAAAAATATTATTTGTTATTTATCTGTCAAAAAAACTAAGCCTAACCCTAACTTCAAAAATAAATTGATTTACTCCCGTCCGGAATAGAGGAGAAGACGGGTATAAGATCCCTCAGTCCAAATCTTTATCTTTCCAACACATAGGTGTCGGTAAGAAACGAGGGAGGGGAGCAATAAACCTATAAAGGGTACGCTGCATTTTCAATGCTTATACGATGTATATATCTTTCCAAAACAAGTGGGGGGCTTAGCCCCCATCCCCTCCCATGGCCCTTCGCCCAGTCTCGATGTCTATGCTATACTCAAAGCATTCATATAATTATGTATTTACCTAACTGGTATGACGTTGAAAACTTTCAATAATAAATGAGTTTATTAAAACAGATGAAAACTAGAAATTTTTAAGTACAGTAAAACGTATGAGAGAGAGAATTTTCATAGTTTTGAAAATCAAATTGGCCCCTTTTTACTATGATAAATGCTAAGTTGCTTGAAGCTTTCCTCTGTTAATGCCCCCTATACACCTTTACATCTACTTATCAAAGACTAAAATTAAAGAAAAGAAAGAATTAATGAACTTAAACAATCGTCACTCTTTTTTTCAAGACCCTTGAATTTTCTCTTGTATTTTATCAAAACCTTAAATATCTAAAACGTCAATATCTCAGGTCCTACAGCAACTTTATCATAAAAAAGTTATCAAACCAGTATCTGTCATTTACCATACCGATTATTTGAAGGAATATTGATCAATCTTTACATTTTTTTTTCAAAGTGCGTTAATATGGTCGATATTAACGTACTTTGAAAAAAAAAAATTTCAAAGTGAGTTAGCTTGATCCCAAATTTTAACGCACTTTGAAATTTTTTTTTAAAGTGCGTAATTTTTCAAAGTGCGTTGTAACAAAGGTGATTTCCCGGCGATACCCGAAAGTGAAGGAGTGTGGATAATCTATAGTATCAGGGTAGTTAGTAGTGTAACCATTTCTTGAACATATTTTTGTCTACGATGAAAAACGTACATGAAAGGTTGATAAACTCTTCGGAATCAAAAAATAAATAAAGCTTTTCATTTCGCTTTTCATAAAACCAGGCATTTATCCAAGAGACTAACAGGTTTACTTAATGCAAAATACATCTAGATAATCTATTTTTAATTAGATTATAACCTGCACTTTGCCATAACATATTAAAACTACGGTCTTTTGGTAACCTATCAATCAAATTCAATATATGATCGTAATTTGGAGCCCACCTCTATCCAAGGAAAATGATTTTCAGATTTTGAGAATTTTTCTTTTCTCCTTTGAAAACAACACTACATGCTTGAATGTATTAGTCATAGTCATATGTCATTTAACGTTTGGCATGCGCACGCACGTTCAAACATATGCAAGATGTTCATAGAATGTTGGCTAAACGTTTACAAAATCTTTATTTACTGAGAAAAAAATAATACAAATATAAATGTTACCAATTTACAAGTATTCATTTTGTGCATGCACATGTACGTCCTTGCATTCAATTTTGATAGTAGCATAATGTGGAAATCTATTGCACCTATTCATATTTTAAATTTTATCCCGTTTTGTTGAGAAACAAGAAAGTTATAGGCATTTAATGTTTCAGCCAATTAGATTGTAGCACATGTTCATGCACGAGCTTTCATGGCAATTCTTATAAAAATACTGTAGATCTTCAAAATGTATGATTACGTTTAAAATTTCAAAGGATTATGACAAAAATACAAGAGAGATGATGAGACTTTAGTTTCAGTCAACCAGAGCGAAGAAGACGTGCATGCACGTGAAATCTTGCTATTTTGACCATGTCGTTTTGCGTTATGTCTATACTATTAATAAATACTTATGAGTCTTAAAAAATTTCATCAAAAACTAGAAAAAAATACGGCTTTATCTATTATATCGGTAATTTCACACGTTTCAAGTGTGTAGTTTTCAGGTTAGGCCAAAGTTTTGATGGCGGATAAAATCATGATATAGTCAGCTATTTCTTCGTACATAGTGGGCTCTGCATTCTAAACAGAAAGTTTTGAAGCAAAGACTATAACCAACTTTTTATGAAAATATTGTGTTGTACTAATAAAGACTAATGGATGTAATGATAATGAAATAATACTATATATTGTATTTTTTAAAAATATATTTACATGAACGAATTTTTTCCAGATCCCCTGAGAGCTTTAGCTTGCATATTTTTTTACGACACTGTCAGTAAAGATCTGAATTCAAAGATAAACATGTCCAGGATTGCTCTTAATATATAACGAAATGATTAATTACCAGTGAAAATATTAATTCATGCTGCTTTTGTTTGAAATTTTCAGTTTTTAAGAAGACAACTCAATCATAAGATATTATTTACATGTCAAGAAATTATTTCATGATAAAATAATTTTTATCTGAATTCCTTTTTAATTTACGTGTTTTAACTTAACTTTTTCACATGATCAATGTCAAAAATTTCAAAATACCGAGTAATAATTTAACATACATGTACAGTAATGATATGATTTTGAAAAAAAGATAAATTATTTTCCCCGGGAATTCTCGCATATTTTCCACTCAATGGATATTGTTTTCTTATAATTTAAAATTCTGACTTAAAATGATAGTTTATGAGACATTCGTTTAGTTTCAAGCAAACAATACTTTTATCGGCAACAACATGTAGATACAGGTACAAAACCATTGTCGATGACTTTAGACATACTATTTATTTATTTTTAAGATTCCAATTCACTTATTATAAGAATTAAGGTAGTACAAAACACCCCTGGATTCTATTTTTACTTATTTCTTTAAAAAATACTGGAGAAAAAAGAATAATGTGATAATATTGGCAACAATGAATGACCCCTGTAAGAAAAATAACATTTTTGGCATGATTTTGTCATAGTGAAAAAAATCAGAGAATCCTTTACGTTGGTCACTTGGGAGTTTACATTTTGGAATGTGTTTATGCTATCTAAGTGCAATAATCAAGCATGTAACAGTCTGATATAAAATGCAGGGTAACTTTTGTTTAATAAATAGTAGAGGGCTGATATTTAGAAACTCATATAAATAGTCTCCGTTCGTGGTGGACTATAAAGGTCAAGGTCATATCAAGAGGTCAAAGTTCAAATATTGTGACGTCATCATTTTCCATTTAAATTTTTTTAATCGTCGAAATATCAGAAACTACCGGTTCATTTTTTTCTTTTTTTACAAATTTTACTTTGGGACCCATTTTAATAATTTTGTTAATTTTTTGCAAAAAATTGAATTATACATTGTTTCTTTAGAACATTTTAATTGTAGCATATTTATCTGTGAATTTTCAATTCTAACGCTATGTATGTTCTATTTTTACTTAATATTTTTCTTAAATGGACCAGTGTCTATATGATTTACTAAGTTAAAGTAACAATAAGGTATTTTTTTTTTCAAAATAATACAATGTAACACAAACTTGCAATATATCAAATGATAATTCCAATATAAGGCTCATTCTCAAGTAGAGTGTCTGATTTCACAATCTTCTTACAGGGGTCTGATAGGCCATATTTCACACAATGTGGGCAAAATATGTGCGGTTGAATTTTTTTCATATTATATATTGAGAGAGATTTTGTTTCCTAGAACAAAATATCAAAGTTTCAGAAAAAATGAATTTTAGGAAAATTTGGGCTCTCTAATGTATCCTACCTTAATTTGCTAAAAATCAAAATAGAGAATATGACCACTCATATAGAATTGACAAAAACGATATGTAACTAATCAACAAACTCGACCTTTCAAATAGTCAGCGCTATTGAAAGTAGTTCGCTTACATTATGCATTCATTAGCGGATGTCAACAAAATGATATATCACCTTAACCCCAAAAAGTAGATATCTAATTCCTCTTTCAATTTCACTTACAAGCAAAAATATTAACCAATTGCACGTTATATACTCAAAGATTTAGATGTTCGTCTCTTAATGGGACTATTTTGTTTTTCGGTATCGTACGCTGTTTTGTTTTTTGTATTAGATAACATATTTGTATCGACATGAAAAGCCTTTTGCTTTTCATATTATGTACCTGGTATCTATTTTTCATCACTTTGATATAAGCAAGGTTGAACGGGATGCAATTGGCATAATTCGAACGATGCATCCATGAGGATGCCCAGAGAATTCACTCGGAGCTCCTCGGGTGGCTCGTACAGTGTACCTCGCACACTTTAGCATAGCGGAGTCAACCGAGCACTGCCGATTGTAGAGAATTCGCCCCGACGACAACTTGCTCGTAAAATTATTCGCCTTATTTGAATTACAATATCCCATTCTGTGACAAATCTTGCATTTAAAACAGCATATCGTATTCATATATTCATTGGCGGGTCCAAATTATTCTATTATACTTTGTCTTTTATGTACAAACTAAACATTAATTCTATGGTGCAGCCATTTTCAAAAGTATAAATACTCGAACTTGCAATATATAGATGACTTTGAGAGGTAAAAAAAAAACTTCATTCAACGACTAGTTCTAGGTCTTAAAGGATATATAGAACAAGTCTTCATCTGCATTAATTGTGTGCATCAAGGCTCGCGTAATAATTTGATCAACAGCAATCCAAATACAACTTGATAAAGGCCTGTAGCAACGGTTGTCCATGCAGGGGAGAGGAGATCTCCGGAAAAAAATCTGCGTTCTACAGAGCTGTGCTACATGCGTACCATTAAATCTATATTCCCAATAATAGAATTCTTCCGTATAATACCATGTAAACAAGTCCTTGTCGTTATTGGTTACATGTATCAAATCAGCCCGTATTTTTTAAATAACAAAACTAAAGGCCAATCGGAAATCAAATTTGATGATTTTGCTATGAAAGAACATTCAGTCAAAGTAAGCAAATTACAGTAGAAAATATGAACGAACCTATATGAATATACACTGAACCTAGAAATTTTCTTTATTTGGATTTCATTAAGAATCGCATGCATATGGTCTACGTATTCAGTCCTTTTTTATTGGACAAAAACTGGTTATAATGTATAAACAAACGTTCAATAAATAGATGGAATTTCAACAGATTAACTTATTGAAACCATTATTCAAAAAGAGTGCCTAATTAAATGCATTTTTTCCAGCCTGATATTGCTAGTAAATTTAAACTTTTAATAAAAAAAAAATTAAAGCAAAAAACATTCATATTCTTAGTCTCACGAATATTGTTATAATAATTTGAATTAACTCACATTTATACACATCTGTTGAATCATAGTGAACTGGACACGGCTCTGTAAAACCTCTGCAGGACTGACGATTGTATTGGATTCTGGCACCTTTCACATTAAACTCCACACAATGTCCTGAATTATTTTAAAATTTATCTTATTAAGGACTTAATTAATAGTTTTGATAAAAGTTTGTAAGAAATATTCATTATTACCTGTCAATAAAAAACTTAATATATAGATTCATTGAAATGTAAATATTCCTCCTATCTATCACATTTTCCTTCAGAAGATGTAATAGTGCTCATCAAAAAAATTGGTAAGAATTTTGACATTGGTATTTCATTCCAACATTTTTAACTTTTGTATATCATCATATTCATCGAGATCTTGTTCGACTATAAGATTTGATAAAAAAAAGGTGAATGAACAAGTCATACAGAATGACTATAGTTCACATATTTTAAAAATTCAAATTCTATTTTTAAATTTGAAATTTTCGAAATTATGGTCTTCAAAACTCGGAAAAATAAAATCTTTTAAAATGTTTGCTTTTACTAACAAATAAAATGGCATTCTTGAGATTAAAACCCTAGCAATAAAAATCTGGGGTATCATATTGCTTTGAGACTAACATGCTCTGTGGCAACGCACTTTGAAAAGATTACGTACTTTGAAATTTTTTTTCAAAGAGCGTTAAAATTTGGACAAAATTAACGCACTTTGAAAAAACTTTTCAAAGTGCGTTAAATTTGGGACAGTCCACCTACAAAAAATACTATAGTTAACCATAGTTAACTATGGTTATAACTTTAACACTTTCAAAACTTTGATTTACTATAGTGATAACTATGACACTTTGAAAAACTTTGGCGAAAACTTTGACACTTTAAAAAACTATTCCGAAAACTTTGACACTTTGAAAAACTTTGGCGAAAACTTTGACACTTTGTAAACTTTGTCGAAAACTTAAACACTTTGAAAAACTTTAGCGAAAACTTTGACACTTTGATTAACAATAATTAACTATAGTAAACTAAAGTTAACTATATTAAACTAAAGTTAACTATAGTAAACTATAGTTAACTATAGTAAACTATAGTAAACTATAGTTGTTATGTTCCTCAAACGAAGTTGGGGAACATATTGTTTTTACTCTGTTTCTTACTATTATTATTTTTCTTCTTGGGAAAATTCTGTCCGCGAATGATCTTGTAAAGTACACCTCCGATTAAGGGGAAACCTTTTTAGGATAAGTAGGCATGTTATGTAGATTTGCGGAACGAAGGGTCATTTTGCGCGCACGTGCTTGCAAGAGCGCGCACGTGCAACACGTAAAATGACCAATATAATTGAAATTGCCGTAACTTTTACATTTTTTGATGTAATGCTTTGATATTTAAAATATATAGACATATTATTAATGTAGATAAGATGACATTGTCAACATGCCATTTTGCGCGCACGTGCAAGAGCGCGCACATGCAACACGTGAAATGACCGATATAATGGATATAGCCGTAACTTTTCTATTTTTTGATGAAATCTTTTGGAATTTTTTATGTAAGGATATATAAGTAGCGTAGACAAGATGAGATGATCAAAAAAGCAAGATCTCACGCACACGCACGTGCCCTTTCTCTCTGATTGGCTGAAACTAAAGTCTCTATATCTTTCTTGTTTTCCGACGAAATCCTATGAACTTTTGAACATAGCCATGCCTTAAGATATCCTACAATATGATATATAGCAATTATCATGAAAACACGTGCATGCACCTGCGCTGCAATCTGATTGGCTGAAACTTTAAATAGTTATAACTCCCTTGGTTTTCAATCAAACAGAATGGAATTTGGAACATAGATAGATATAATGAACTTCTACAAGATGTTATGGTCTTCATGCACATGCATACACGTGCGTGTACGTGCGCTGTAATCTGATTGGCTGAAATTTTAAACAGCTATATTTCCCTTTGTTTTCAATCAAACGGGGTGGGATTTAGAACATGTAGATATATGTAAAGGACTTCTACAAGAAGATCTGGTCACCATGCTCATATGTATGCACGTGCGTGCACATGAAATGAGATAAATCAAAAATACACTTTAATGAGCGTAATTTTTAATACTTTTGGATTAAATACTTTAATATTTAGAATATAAAAAATATAAAAATTGTGTAGACAAGATGATATGGTCATTACGCACATGCATTCTTTTGCGCATGCTTGCAATGCTTAAATTTGAATGAACTTGGCGTTGTTAAAGTCTCCTATTTAATGAAGCTTACGGGGAATATGGCACCAAAAGGGAGTTGGGGAGCGTTTGGGGTACATCTGTAACGGTCCCCGTTACAATTAGCACTAGTTTTTTTTGTTAGGGACACTAACGCACTTTGAAAAAAATTCGAAGTGCGTTAAGAGTGTACTTGAACATTTTTTTTTACCATGGAAACATTTAACGCAAAAAAAAATATGCATAAAACAAAAACTATAGACTTAGATTTTAGTAATTGACATAATCAATTTGTAATAATTATATCTTTCGAAAAACTTTTTAATGTATTCATTTTAACTCATTGGGAACAAGGAGAAGATGAGTAGAAGCTCTCTCAGTCCAACTCTTTTTTTTTTCTTTTACATTGTACATTGCCGTAAACCCCAATTTTCAATGCCTATATAATCTATATTTTGCAAAACATTTGTGTGCCTAAGACCCCCGTACCGATACGATGCCTTTGCCACAACCAAATATACCTATTTGCATAACTGGTATGGCGTTGAAAATTTTCAATAAATTTTATTTTACATAAAACGCATGCAAAATGGAAAAAATTAAGTACGGTAAAACATTTAAGAGAGAAAGAATTTTAAAAGTATGGAAAAATAAAAATCGCTCACTTTCACATCCTGAAGTGACCTCATCACGGAAGAGTTGCATGTATCAAACAGGTTCAATTATTTATCATACCTAAGATTTGCAAGAATATTGACCAAGCCATACACATTTTTTTCAAAGTTCGTTGATATTGTTAGATATTAACGCACTTTGAAATGAATTTTTTTTTTAAAAGTGCGTTGATTTGGTCGCAACTTTAACACAGTTTGAAAAAAAAAATCAAAGTGCAACAATGCTCAAAGCTACGCTACACAACTCATGATGACTTATGTTTGCGATATGACCCTTGACTTAATGATTTTCAAGTATTTCTCGGAAAGAAACAAATACTTTTAAATTGTCAAAAAAGTGTCCTTGTAGGGTATACAGGGTCTCTGCTGCAAGTTTGTGAAAATAAAAAAAAGTATATTCTTTTACAAACTTTAAGAATTAACTTCAAAGGGCCACTCATATACTGACACGCAAAAGAATCGCAACAAGCAGTAATCTAAAAATGTTAGATTTCTTATCTTATGATTCTCAAAAGCGAATAAAGTAAGGCTAACTCACTTTTCAGAACATAAGAGATTTTATAAAAATGTTAAATGTTTATCTGTTAACTTTACTAAGTAAAATATGACTGTTAACCCCCCGCCACCTCCCAGCCATTCAAGTAAAACATGCAAGACTGCCCTAAACAACAATTGCAGCTTAATTTCTACGAAACAATAGGTTCATTAATATCGAGATCTGAGCGAAATAATTATTCTTTGGCATTTTTAAATGCCCGTTTTTCAGATGATTAGGTCGATTTTTCTCTAACTTAGAGCAGTGTAGCCACCCTTGGACTTCCAGTACAAGGACTGTCCTTAATGCATATCATACGTAAGACCCTGTTGAGGTGTAATGTAGCGAAATTTCGCATCAGCAACTCTCCATCACCTTTAGATTGAACTTTTCCAGCTAGAGCAATGGAAATGCGTACATAAGCCATTTTCAAGTAGTCTTAGCATCGTTACGGGAAACAAAATGATAGTTCATTAAAAGAAAAGTAAAAAACCTTAAAATCAATAATATTGCAAAATGTTTTGTCAAATATGCAATTTTTGATTTCTGTTAATCAGACTAAAACTTGACTTCCGGTTATGGTATGGAAATCGTTCAACCGCTAAATTACCAATGTTACCAAATTGAAGATATTCATAATTTTAAGATACAAAGATCTCTACTTTACATAGTTAGTTCCCCCTAAAGTAGGGTGTTGCGTTTCTTTAGCGTGTCAGTATATAAAAATATATTAAAAGCATGAGAAAATTTTACTTTTGGTCATCTTTAGTGTGTGTATGCTATTTCATAAGAAAAAAATTCAGCTTTTAAGAGATTTTTGAAAATGAAAAAGATTTTACCAAAGTATACTTTAATGCATATGTTTGGTGAAATATAAACAAAAGAATCAGGGGCATTAAGACCCTAAATATGCCCCAACCATAATGGACAAAATATTATAAATATTAAAAGAATTATGATTAAATCACACCTTTTCAGACATGTTTTGACGAAAAAAAAAACACTATTAAGACATTTTTGGGTCAAAACAAAAATAACACAATTTTTACTGATTTCTGGAAATTTTTAATATTTTTTTTTTTTTTGTAAATATAATTAAAGAAATAAAAGATGGATTTCTAATACAAATACAACAGAAATGATCCTAAACATGTGAATATAAACTATTTTTTTTAGCTAAAAGTGGTAAAAAAGCGGATTTTAATGTAAAACAGTTGTTTTTATGTTCAAAATCAGAGATATCTGGGAACTTAAGATGTCTTTAATTGGACTCCACTCACAATATGTACTTTACAGTAAAAATATTTCAAATAATATCCTATTAACTCTATCAGAAACTATAAATGAGGAAAAATAACTTTTATATTATTTTAAATTCACAGAAAAATGTTAATTTTTCAAAGACAAGTACTATTTTATGTATTAAACATAAAAATACATTGAATGCACAAAGTTAACAAACAAGAAATGTATTCAACTAATATTCTTAATAACAATTCATTAAACTTGACAAAAATAACAATAAGGGATTTCAGTTTGCATAAACAAATTCCAGAACTCCCGTCACCCACCTATACTTTTACCAAAAAGATCATAGACGTTTAACATCACACCACTCATGCCTTATACACTACATTTACTCATAATAAGATAATGTTTATCATCCTCACAATGTCATAAAAATGAACTAAGCATCAAAGATTTAGTTATACTAGTAAATGTTTGTCTGGAAAGTTTTTGCAATTACATTATATTACAAAAAATAACAAATACTTGTATATAGTCATGTTAATTAATAACAAAGTTCAATATGCAAATAAACACTGCATAATAAAATATAATAATTATTGTTACTATTATCTGAGAAACATTTTGTGATGCCTTATGCATTTTACATCAGTATATTAATTTTGATAACAATTATTCATGAAGTATAATCATATGCTAATAACAAATCGTTTCATTTGTCAAGGCAGGGATTTTCCACACCATTTTGGGAATGGGGCCCAGGCCCTTGGAATTGGGAATTTAACGGCATTTTATCAATAATTGGGAAATTTTATAGCATGATGTTTTTCAAGAAATAAACACTTAAAATTAATAAATATTATGTTTTCCTTAATTATTCAAAATTGTAAAGCAGATGATAGATCAATAATAATAAATTTTTAGCCAATTTTCATAAAATATTTGTTTATTTTATTCAGTTAAAAAAAACCTGGCCATTATTTTACCAGGAATTTAATCAAGTTAACTTTATGGGTTCTATTTTGGGAAAAATAGAGTGATTTTGCAATTGGGAATGGGGCCCATATTCGGCCCTACACGGGGCAGTGGAAAATCCCTGCAAGGTACATCATTAATCTTTCAATATTTACAACCTAACTTATTAAACTCATGCCATGAATCTAATATGTTTTTGGGATGTACAATGCACTATATTTTAATTTCTTTATTTTATAACAGATGTTAAGAAATCACAATATAAACATAAAAAAAATCATAGATACATAAAAATCCCTATTTACAATTGATAAATAAAAATATATACACAGCCTTCCACTAAATTGTTGAAAACAATAATGGGAGTCTAATGCAGTGGACAGCATAACCTGCAGATTGATTGATTGTATATTGTTTAACGTCCCTCTCGATAATTTTCACTCTTATGGAGACGCCTATAATCTTCAGAATGTTCACTCTCAATAATGTTCACTCTCAATAAACCAATGTTGCAATTCATGTCAGTATTCCGTTGCACTCATTTCACTTTCTGATGAGCCATACATTACTGCAGGAAGCACAGCTGCATCTTCAAGGTAGTCAGCCCAGTCTTGAGTAGGTCTTACTGCAAAGTTCGTGTGTCTTTCATAGCCAAGAAACCACAATACTGAGGCCACATGGGCACATGCCCCGACAACTCTGGCTCCAGCACGACACTGACAATACCAACAAGTAATACCTCCAGTAACAGGATATTGTTTTGGACCATCTCTTGGCATCCTACAATTAAAATATAAATATCAAAATTAAATTACTTTATATATTATGTATGCACATTTTGTCTCTAACTATGGAAGGAGGGGGTTACTTGTACAGTTTATATACATTTGCATAAGAGTTTCTTTTTATATATATGAGAAAAAGGGAATAATTTATTAATCTTACCAGGTATAATATATAATTATTTCATTCATGAAATCAATTTAAATAGCAGTTTTATTGATTTACCTATTTGAGTTTAATGAATAAAATCAGAGGCAAAGACATTATTTGGTACTTTAAATCAAAACAAAAAAGATGAATGAACCTTGTAATGACAAACATTTTTTTTTCTAATTTAAATGGTGACTTAAATGAATTTATAATATTCCAAGGTAATCTTATTATTTTATTTGATGCTTACAAAAGTTTAATTTTACGTTAATAATATTTGAATTAATTGGTAAAAAAAAAAAACAAAAATACATTGTTCCCACAAGAAAAATAGAAAGAATTTTATTTATATTATTTATTCTGCAAAGAACATAAATTAGATTTAGTGATGTTAGCTTATTTTTAAGAAACTAACTTTATTTTATTTCTTTAACGGTTTTACAAATAAAAAAAAAAAAACAAAACAACCCCCCCCCCAAAAAAAAAATCTCCTACCATTTTTTTTAAAATATTTTTGACTGTTATAGCACACCATACATTTACACAAAGTACACAGGTACCAGGGTAAGGTCTCTTGAATACACAAACGCTAGACTCGGTTGTATTTGTACTCAGACAGAAAAATATGTTATAGACACCAACATAGAAATGTAGTATATTCATATTTTAATGCCGTACATGTAAAGATTTTCACAACTGATCAAACGCGGCTAATCATGCAGATCAACCTGCCGATCGAGGGCTCATGAATCATAAACATTAGGGCCTAAATAAAAGGGAATCGATGATTAAGTCAACTTTTTATAATCTTTTTAATTTTTTTTTCTTTGAAAGAAGATAGCATGTTGTGTTCCTGTTTAATATATTTTAGATACACATTTCTATTTTCAACTGTTTGACATGATTACCGTCCCCCCGAGTTCATGGAGTTAGCGGAGTCTGTCATGTCGAATCTTTTATCATTAATAAGTTTAGGAGGGGATTTAATTTTGAACAATGCATGTAAGTAGTGCATGTAAAATTACAATTGCTCTGATTTTCAATTCATCCCTACCTGTTAAATGGTACCGTTAGAACTTCGAAAAATCTACTGTCACATTTTCTGTTTCCACCAAATTTGTTTACGTCTGAATATAAAAACCGAAACCGGAAGCGATCAAAATCAGCCTCAAAAAACATCGTTTTTTTTTTATTTTTCCGGGTGGCCGCATGCAAACAACAGAACAATATACTGGGATATAATTTATTATGTCATTTTAAACAATCTATTGAATTTTTATTCTGTTGTTTTCGTGCGGCCATATCCAAATCTTGTTTGGAATGTGATAATTTTATGGAAATTTCTCAATTCCGGAAAAATCAAACAACTTCACATTGTGATAACTCAACTACAAATCAAATGTTAAAAAAAAAATATTTCTATTTACATCAAACGTGACATCTCGTTATATGAAAAATAAACCAACTTAACGATATCACTGGTATAAAAATGTTTTAAAAATATTGGGCAGCTCATATATGCTTACTGCCTCTGATTCTTTATGTCTTTGAGACTTTATTACTTTTCGGCTCTGTCATACTATAGACACCTTGTGCGCAATGTTCACCCATCTTTAATTCTCGAAACAATTACAATATTTTTTCATAAAATTCTCAAAACTCCTTTCATATCATACAAATTTCTTTGCCGATGAATATTTAAATATAGATTCAACCTTGCCATGTCTTTGTGTTTTAAATATACTAACCAAAAACAATTTTCATTGGTGCGCAAACCTCAATAGTAGCATTTCCCCATTCATTGACTGCGCAATGATATGTAAAGCGTCTCTTTGATGAACAATCTTGCTGTTTATCGTTACAGTTCTTTAATTTCTCTCTATATCTCCAGTCTTGTTCATTAGTCGGGCAGGATTCTACAGATTGCACAGTAGGTAAAGATGCAGAACATCTTCGTGACAAACACTTCTGAAAATAGAATTTTTTTTCTCATGACGACGAAAGCCGATATAAATGTTTACGTATTTTTAATAAAGGCTTGTTTTTTCTGTGCAAACCTAGAAGTTTTAAGCGTCATGATATAGTAACAGCTCAACGCACTTTTTAAATCACATTGTTTTTATCGCACAAATTAAAGGCATATTTTTTTTTGGCAAAAAAAACCCCTAAAACCATCGAGCTTCAGTACGATACATAACCCTTATATTGTTAAATATGTCATGTTAAAGATGCATATTATCTACATTGTAAAATCATTATCTTAAGTTTTAAACCTCGATGTTCTAAAGCGAATTTGTTTATTAATTGTTTGATGTTAAATGTGTATGATTCTACCATAGGTATTAACATATTAATTAATCGAACTTTCTTTGATACTATTTGGTTAAAATATTCAAATTTACGTCTTACAGATGAGTATTTTTCTGAATACTTTGCACATTTTCCATATTTGTGTTGGTTTTGTCGAAATGCAGCGCCGAAAAAATCACAAAACTGTATTAAGAAATTCTGTCAAGGTATAGGATAATAAAGTATTGTTATCTTTCAAAAAATTAAATTGTTAAAATCAAAAAGACAATTATTATATATATATATGGTCTGGATCTTAGAAATTTTGCGTTGGAAGGTATATTTCATGATGCTAGATTTCAGGAAGTTAATCTGGAAAATGCCATCTTTTTTACATGGAAAGCAGTCGAACAGATGGGAAATAATTCTATCATCTCGCACTTAAGTATCATATTTATGTACAGAAAAATACAGAATTCATATGAACGGACTGTTTCTGTATTTAGGCTAGGCAAAAGAGTGCTTTTAAATGAACAGATGCAAAGACGAGTGCATTTGACGAGAGATGAAAAAAAAAAAAAACATTTGGAAACTCTTACTATTTATCATCCAAGAGCATATAAAATCCTACCAATTATTAAGTCGGAATTATGTTTAAAGTAACGAAATTATATCAGAATTAAATTATAGATCACTTTTACAATATATTTTGTTGTCACGTTATAGAATTTTGCATTATAATAATGTGACCTTAATTTGTGCGAAAAACCATGTGAGCTTACAAGTGCGTTGAGCTGTATATTTAAATGAAGTCAGCGACCAACATACCTGGATTATTTTGCCACTAAAATGAAATTAACATATGTCATTAAAAATTCAGTCATAGGTTAATTTTTTTTCGTCCGGAGTAATTCATTTAAAGTACATTTTGTATGTCAAAGTTTAAAGATAGGTGGACTATAATAATGGTATTTTAAAATAATTAATGACAAACAGTGCACATAGTAGATACCTCGGAAAAAACAAAAATAGTAGGCTCTTTGTAGATGCCATTTTAATAACTATTTTGAATTGAGGGCAATCATTCAGGAAACACGACGTTGGTTAGCTTCATGATATTTTACGAACGTTACATTGTCAAGCATTATACGAGGGTCATTCAAAAAATCGGAAGAAAATTCTCCTGATCATGTTTTTTTTACAATATATATTGAAAATCAGGGCATTTTCATATATAAAGCATTTATTTTGTCGATGAGGTTTCATTCCATTTCTTTACATGAAAAACTTAAACAACATCGAGAACGTTTCTTAAAATTACTCTGCCTTATCATTCTTGTTTGTAGCGTCCTACACATAGTAAACATAGGAAATCACGAAGGTCATCGCGTCGAATGTTTTCAGCTTGAGTAATGCCAATCTCACTTGCATCATATTTTCCTTATAGTTAATATGTATCCTTACAACAATATTTTTGAGAGTTATGGTTAAGTTTAGGTCTTAAAATTCATCGGGAATTGACCTTATCTATTCCTGGTCATTCATCTGGAAAATGTAGGTCAGATCCAGAATGCAAAGCAAGTCTAGTAGTGTCAATCCCTAGATGAATCATCCATGTTTGGTCAAGGTAGGGCTAGTTATAATTTGGAAATGGACCAAAGCCGAAAACTTAAACCTTGTCACTTATCTGGAAAGCGTAGGTCATATCTAGCATTCGGAGCAGGTCTAGAAGTGTCTATCTCTAGATGCATCTGCCGTTCAAAAAAAAAAAAAAAAAACTGGTAGGGCTTATAGTTTCTCGGGAATAGACCTGCTCCTAAAACTTTAACGTGGTTACTCATCTTGAAAATATAGGTCAGATCCAGCATCCGTAGCATGTCTGGTAGTGTTCATCCATCCCTAGATGTATCATGCATTCAAGTTTGGTCAAGGCAGGGCTTATAGTTACATTGTACTTGGGAATTGACCTGCTACAAAAACTGTAACTTGGTTGCTCATCTTGAAAATGTAGGTCAGATCCAGCATCCGAAGCAGGTCTGGTAGTGTCCATCCCTAGATGCTTCATCCATGTACGTTTGGTCCGGGTAGGGCTTGTAGATACTTCGGAATGAACTTGCTTCTACTATCCTTGGACGCCGACGCTTACTCCTACGCCTTCGCCAACGCCAGGGATATAGCATAAGCTCACCTCGACTTCGTCAAGGTTAGCTGAAAACATATTCACAAGACCCAACACCTTGTCTACTGACAATAAGGACGATTTTGGACTTTCATTAGGCGTGGCATTCTCGGTGCTACGTGATGACGAATACTAGAAGATTCTCATTGGTTAAGAAATTAATAACATCAGGAACTTAAAATTGTTGTTGACAACGATGAGACAACTTATGCCCCATCATTGTGCCGTGAGAGAACTTTTAATTGGCTATTTACTACACCAGTTGACATTCGGTCGCATTTCTATCATGTTTTTTTTCAACAGTAAAGGGAAGCTGTGTAAATTTCAGAAAGAGCTAATAAGGTAACATCGAGAATGCCACGCCTTACTGTAAGTCCAAACTAAGCGTGTAATGGAGTTAACATAAATTGTCCGTGTTATCAAATTTTTTACGGTATAACTCATATTTCATAAGTTATGCATCAGTGATGTGCACATCACGTTTCATTCTTTTGACAGTATTTTTAACTATGGCTTCTATCTTCGCAGACCGTCCATTTTCCGACCCAGTGTCTCTACGATTAAGTAGCTTTTATTCTCTGTATATACAAACATTCGGCTTATTTTTGTTTCCTGCATGGTTTCTGCAGCATTTTCATAGCTTTTCGAATGCAAAGCAGAATTAAATATCTACTCACTGCTCCATGAACTCCTTCAAAGGTAACTTTTTTTTTTCTTTTTTGAATGAAATCTATATATTTGTCTTTAGAGATTGATGTCTTTAAGTAAACAAGTATACAAACCTTAGCGATAAGAAGCAGCCCAATTGTAAACAATCTCACAATTAATTTCATAGTCACTTATTTTGATAACAGAAATAATTTGTTTGAATAAAAAGGTATTTTAATCCAATTCAGAAAGGTAAAATAAAAGAAGAACCTTATCTCTTGACAGAGCAGAGATCTGAATAAAGCAAGGCTGGATTTTCCAGTTTTTTTAAAAGGCACATGATCTCGGTGGATGAATAACGTATAAAAACAACCAATTGTGGTGAGATCAGGTAAATTTAAACCTGAATCCGTAAATGGGCATATCTCATTTTCTCAACACAAGGGTATATTTAAACAATTGTTACACCTGACTGCTTTATTGTCAAGGATATCGGCGTGGAATGGCGACCTTGTTCGTGCTTGCTATCTTGCATTATTGTTCACATTTTATTGCAGTTATTTGTATACTGCACTTACCTGTACAACTACATGTACAATTGCAAGTTTATTTCTCATTGGTATTCTACTTTCCTGCATTAGACGAACTTTAAAGTTATTTTTGTCGCTACCGAGTGTTGTATAGCATTGTAGCAACCTCTACAATGATAAAAACTGCTCTAAATGATACACATATCGTTAAGCCTTGCCATTAGTATACTTTGTAGCTAGTAGCAATCGCGTTTTTGTTTATAATATTCATCTATATACAGTTGAGACTCATTTATCCGGACGCGTTGGCTCCCAGTCAATTTGTCAGGATATGTGAAGCGCCTGGATACCTGAATCACCAGTTAAACACTACAACATAAAGTTAAAAAATTCCGTTTCGATGAAAAATCATCCGGATACTTTAGCATCCGGATATCTTGCGTCCGGATATCTGAAGGTCCACCGTAACTATTATGAAATGAGAAATAGTTTTTATTGTGTTTTCATACACAGAATTGATACTTTTTATAAAGTTCCTAGCAGGATGAAAATTAGTGTTGATTCATCCTATAAATTAATAAACTATTTCGTTCTCATCTGTTTAATCTCATTCTCAACAAACAAATTCATGTATCTTCTAAAATGCATATAGGTATGATTGAAATGATTTATGTATCTTATTAAATACTTGTACATATAGTAATGGTCGAAATGCATTCACAGCTTTTTATGAAATTACTATATCCACTATAACATTTTATTAATTGTACCAAACAAATTTAAGGGCTGTTAAAGTTGAAAGTTATATGTAAAGTTACATATTTACATAAAGATAAAAGTATAAAATAATTTGATACGTGTCAATTGCTCGACAATTTGTTTTGGTGGGTGGAATATACATTAAAAATGATAAAAATACTAAATAAAGAAAAAAAATCTAAAATATATATAAAGATAGAAAAGTCAAGAATAAAATTGAATTTACCAACTTAAAACTTGGAATTACCAATTTTAAAGTTGGAAAAGCCAAAATTAAAGTTGGAAAAGCAAAAAACTGAAGTAGAATTGTCATGCAACTTTAAAGGTGGAATATCCAACTTAAAGCTTGGAAGTACCAATTTTGAAGTTGGAAAAGCCAATATTAAAGTTAGAAAAGCAAAAACTAAAGTAGAAATTATCATGCAACTTTAAAAAGTGGAATTACAAACTTTAAAGTTGTAATTATTAATTTTATAGTTGGAAAAGCCAACTTAACATTTGGAGAAACCAAGAGTAAAGCTTGAAAAGCTAAGATTAAAGTTGGAATTATTCATCTTAAAAAATATTACGTAGCACTAAAACGCAGCCGTAAATTACATGATGTAGATGTGAGAACAATTAAAGGAAAGAGAAGGAAGGGGGAAAGGCGAGAACAATTTTATTTTAATTACGGAAATAACGTAGTCATGAACTTTAAAGAACCTTTGTGCAATAATTAAGAATACTCAGAATATAAAATGTTCACATCTTAAATACTTTGAGTTAACACTTCGTTTATAATGTATATAAAGTGTTAGAAAGTATCTATGTATTTTTTTAAGAACTCGAAAAAGTAGTTTAGATTTAAGTTCTGTACATTAAAGAAAAGATCATAATAAATAAACCGACGAATCAACAAAATTAATACTCTACATAATTGATTTGTACGTTTAGATGTTAAATGTGCTACAAAATAAACATTGCGATCGATCCTACAGTAGTGACAGGTCACGATGCAGTGGTCATGCATACAAAAAGTATATTTTGCAAAGGATTTTTGGATTTAAAAGGATATAGGCAATGCACATAACTTGACACCTTTTCCATTGAGAATTTTCCAAAAATATCATTAAGATAATACAATTAGTACTATAAGATGTCCCTTAAGTTTTAGAAGAGAGTTTAACAAAAAAAAAAGAATAAGGCTATTTTAGGTATTTTTATAAATTTGATTCAGAGGAAATGCACAGCATTGTCAGACAGCAAAACATTAATAAACATGCGCAGATCTAGGAATCTGTTCAAGGGCCAACCAAGAAATGTCTTGACAAGAAATACATTGAAACAATATAGCTCGGGAAAAAAAAAGTCAACTTTTTTTTCATGTGTTAAAAACCTATTTCGTGGTGATGGTGGAGGTGGTGGATGTTTTAGCCGTTACTTCTTATGCTTAATTTGTATGATTTTTATATGAACTTAATAAGGGTCCGCATTTTATGTAGGTTGTGGATCCAAGGTCATTTTTAGTTGATTTAGGATATACATTTAATAACTCTGAAAATTCCGGGGACCCCACACTTCCTTTAGATCAGCGCATTTTAGAATGCATAAAGTATGCCAAAACATATTAAAATCGCAGATTAAATTCATACGATTTGAACTGTATAAGGCCTACAGCAGTATCTGTATTTAAAAGGGGTTCCTGTCTTGTAGAGTATGCTTTCTCTTCTATTTTTTTTTCTTTCTGGAAAAATGGCTTTAAAGTAGGATTTCCTTTAGAAAAAAAGGCTCTGGAGTAGGATTTCCCTGAAAATCCCACATAAGATTCAATTTTCGGTTTTTTGTTGTTGTTGTTGTTGTTGTTGTTGTTGTTGTACTAACATGTGTATGTTATGAGGGGAAAGAGTGCGACACATTCTAACTTTTGCTATATCGGCTTATATCGGTCGCTACAAAGATTCGAACTCACAGCCTTCAGATCACAGAGCAAGCGCTCTATCGAGTAAGATACGTGAAGGCCTTCAAGATGTATTTAAATATTCGAAAAATGAAAAAGAAAAAAATACGCTATTTTTCTCAGCAACTTTAAAACCGTTTTTTAATCCATTAAACTATTATTCTCTTCATGTAGAAAATATATAATGAGATAATTTGTTACCCGATACAAGTAGATAATTAAACCGTTTTCACGAAAGTAATATCTGACCATTTAAAGAATCACTGTCTAGTTTTGTTCCTCAAACAAAGTTGGGGAACATATTGTTTTTACTCTGTTTCTTCCTCATCTTCTTATTATTATTAAGGTCTTCCGTCTCCAACGGAAGACCTTTTTGTTATCGTTCGGTTTCTTTTTCCCTATTATCATTAAGGTCTTCCGTCTTCAGCGGAAGACCTTCTTGTTTTTCTTCGGTTTCTTTTTCACTTTTTTTCTTACAGTGTACCTATTATTATTCTTTTTTTCTTACCGATTTTGTGCACACGATTTCTCGAAAACAGTTCGATGGATTTTTATGAAACTTTCAGGACTCATGTAACGTTAATTGAACTTGAGTCGTTTTTTTCCGTTTTGATGACTTCACCTCCGGTCCGGAAATATTGTCGATTTTAGGATTTTTGAAGGGTAAGGTTGTCCGTGAGTGTTCTAAAAAATAGCTATAGAAAGAAACGTAAAAATTTCAGGTATGATAGTCCTAAGTCTATAGATGTGCAAAATGTATTTCAATTTTATCGGAAGTGTGGTCGGCGCTCGCTATGACCCAAAAAATGTCCTGTCGCAAATTTCAAAATTTCTAACACCTATTCGACGATATCTTTTTAATGGGAAATATTTTGATAAAACATATAGAACAAAAGAAGTGTAGAGTTCCAAGATCTTTCAAATGATATCTCGAATAAACGGCTGACTACTAAAATAAGGGATCTAGAGGAGCCAGAATGTTTTTCCTGATATCTTGAAAAGTAATGAAAATTTGTAATACACCAAAGAAACAAAGTATTTCAAAATGTCAAGCTTAATCTATTGGGGTCGTCGAAAAAGTCCAATACCGTGACTTCAAGTCGTCGGAAAATGCGTATTTTTGCATTTTTGACAAGTTTTTGCTTAACATCGATCACTGGGAGCATAAAAATTACATTTCTCATGCTATCACTAGGTAAATTAAGCATCTAAAAAAAGAAAAAGAAAACAGAACATCAAGTATTAGAACTCGGGACCTCTTACATGTTAAGCGAGTAACATACCTCTACACGACGGAGCTGCTTCGTTTTGTAGGAAATTATATGCAAACATCAGGTCACATACATTCGCGTTCGCTCTTGTAACAATTTTACACACAGTTCTAATTGATTCAATGAGAATAAAAAGCCTGCCAAGAATCTGTTATTATACGTAACAACTCTCAACATGCCCATGTGCTTAAAATATAGTGCCAAGCGACATTTAATACAAAATATACTAATAAAACAAGCGGGCGGGTTCTTTCACAGTGTTGAGAGAGCCAATAGGGTGTTTTGGTGACAAATTTCATTGTAAAAGCTCATGATTTTCTTGAAATATTGCTCAGTGTTTTACACAGACTCTGAATGTATAAATTTACAACCTAGACCTTGCACCTTCTGATCTCAAAATCACTTGGGGTCTTCATTTGGACACAGGCAGTTGCCATGTAAAATTTCAATGCAAAACACCAAAAAGTTCCTGAGAAATCTCACAGAAATAAGTGTCACACTATATAACAGACAGAATTTATTGATTCATGACCTGTACCTTTGACATTCTGATCTAAAAATAAAAAAGGATTCTTTTTTGTCCATAGGAAGCTACTATAAAAATTTCATTGCTTACTTTTTTTTTTCGCTGAGATTATTCAAAGAAAATTAAAATTGTATACATTTGCTTATTAACATACTATGGAATTAGATGTACTTGTTGTTCTTTAAATTTAGGCTCGTCATAATGGTTTTTTTTTTTAAATTATCTCTTGATCTAAATGTATGTTACTGACTCTTTGTACTTTTCAAATAAAAAGTTATAATGATCAAAGTTTGATTATTTTTGTATAAGGAAGTATTCTAAGGCTAACGAACAATCAAGTGGATTGTAAATCAAAAAACAATTTTCAGCACATTATTGACAATGTATTTTATCACATCTTTATGTTCAACTGTATTATTCGTTTCGATTATCATTTCATTTTCTTCTCCATCTGGATTTGAATGTGGAGGGTAAGCATAAAATATATGATTTTATTTTTTTTAGTCATTATTTAACTTTTCAGGTAAAAGATAAAAACACATGGCATGTGAGAAACAAAATTGATTGATTTTGTTTTAATTATTAATTGTTTTGGATATAGAATTTCTGTTTCCTTAATATAAGCTGCTTGGTATCCTAAATTCACTATTGATTTTGTGTAAATTTTGGAATTCAAATATCAGTTTATTGATAAAAGAAATCTTATAGAGTATTAAGACTCTTATGTTTCAATTTAAAAATGTTAAGCATGTAAAATATTTGCTTGCATGTATTAAAATACAGGCATATATTACAGACCTTAAAGTAAAAATGTTAAGTATGTAAAATATTTACTTGTATGTATGAAAATGCAGGCATGTAGTACAGACCATAAGCACAGGTGGTTGAACGACTTTTTCAACTATTATCCATCAATAACATGTTTTGACGTACAAATATACCTTAATTTTCGCTACCTATACCATTTCATATTATTTAAACAACTAGTTAATAAACAAAAAAAAAGTTTCATAAAACTTCCTTTCTAACTCTATTTTTAAAGATAACAAACAGATTCAAAGAATTGTGGTCACCTGTTTTCGGAGTCTTTGTAGGTGATATGTCTAATATGAACATCCTATCATGTCATTTATGTAGAAATTATCACTGAAGTTTGAAAAAATCATAGTATCCTCGGAAATATCTTGTCACGGTTAATGCACATGTCAAATATTAAAGCCCTATCTCTTCACAATATAAAGAACAGGATGTGTTTGTGGAACACTTATGGCCCTGTATGGCAACATAAGGAAGATAAAATTTTCAAAAAGTGCAAATTAAATACATTATTACCTAAACAAGGGTTTTCATTACAAGAAATACGATTGTGAAAAACACAATCCTTAGCACCACCTGTTCAAAAGTTATCATCAAGGATAAATTTTTGAAAGATTGTGAAAGTGTCTGAGCTGTTGGTTTCTTAAGAAAGGTGTTGTCAAAACTAATGCATTTGTGAAAGATAAAAATCTTAATCCTAACATTTTAAAAGTTGTGGCCGAGGTAAAAGTTTTTTAATTGTAAGTCAAACTCCAAGGTCACGATTAAAGGGTCAAAGTTCTTGGTATCTAATAAAAGGTCTTATCACGAGGATTACATATGTGAAGAAGGAAAGCCCTAGCTCTTATCGTTCAAAAGTAATTGTCAAGGTTAAAGTATTTTTTAAAAGTACGGAAATCTCCAAGGTCAAAAGGTCAAAGTTGCTGATATTCAATGAACAATTTTGCCACAAAAAATACATATGTGAAATTTGAATCTTATTTTCTACCATTCAAATGTAATTGCAAAAGTCAAAGTACAGAATTTTTGTGTAAAAGTGGGTCAAACTCTAAGGTAAAGGCCAAAAGGTCAAATTTGGTGGTACCAAAAAAAGCATTGTCACAAGGAATACACATGTGAAATATGAAAGTCATAGCTTCACTAAATCAAAAGTTATGGGCAATGTTAAAGTTTTTGTGACAGCTAGACAGACTGACGGACAGCTAGAGGGACGCACGGACAAAGGAATAAGATTTAATGTCCCCGGGCTTTTGCGAAATCGAGGAACAACAAAGTTTTTCACAATTTGAGAATTTGCCTTGTATATTTTTTACACATCAGGCTTGTCGCCATCACCCTGTTATATTTCATTTTTACAAATCTAGAAAGTAGCCTGTATCCTGGGCTGAAATTCGTCTTTTTTGTCTTCTTTGATCGACAAGTGCGTTTGTTATTTTTTAGGAGCCTTGTGCTGTTTTACTGGTGAACAGTTTTATATAAATTCATTTGTTTTAAAAAGTGGTAACATTTCTACTGCAACTTAAAAAAAATAACTGATATTTTGGAGGATCCTATTTTTGAGGTTGCGATTTTGTGAAGTTTCATTTTTTTTATTTACTGTATACATTTTTTTTCCAAAATTACCCTATTTTAACTTTTTATGACACTTTTGAGTATATGATTTTACAATAATGCATAGACACCCCTATGAGTCATTATTATTTTTAACTTAAGGACCCTCTCTACACCAGTGCAAAATGTTTTTTAGACATTACTAAAAATATATTGTATAATATGTTAACATTGAGCATATCTACATACTTTTTACTGTATGGGGCGTGGCAGTTATCCTCGGGAAAATGTCTCAATACAACACAGTATCAGTGAATATAAATCACTGTTGTTTACTTCCAAAGAGAAAATACATGTACATAACATGTTCAGTTAAATAATCTAGGTCTTTTAAAATGTAAAATAAATATTTGCATCGATTAAAAATTAACCAATATACTGTAAAGCATTTTTTAAAAAAAGAATTAAGATCTAAGGGCAGATCACTCTAATTGCAGAAAAACAGCATAGAATAAGAACTCCGTAGTGTGCAAAGTAGAGAGGGTTCTTTAGTGAAAGGGAAATGTACATATAAAAATGGTTGCTAGTTTACCATTTGTAACCAATTGGATCTTGCAAAGTTTTTTTTTTTGAATTCCTATATATCAAACGGTAAAAATTAAATGCCTAAATTTTGTTAAGCTTTAAAACTGCAGCTAGGTCAGGTCTTACATTGTAAAACCGCAGTTTGAACAAAGATAAAACTGTACTCGATTTGGGATCTTTCTCATCAGTAAGTGGGTCAGCACTCGTCTGGTCAATTAGCCCTTAGGCCCATTTAACCAAAAGTTGTAACTGTAAGACGACGCACGTATCGTAATGGTTGAATTTTAACTCTATTGGGGGGTCCAGTGTAAGACTGCAGGCGATGGAACCCCTTTTATGTTTTCAGAAAGAGAATAAGAAAGGGATTTCTCTGTCATATAGATATTTTTATGAGTTTTATTTTCAATAAAATACTGTATTACAAGTTTTGTCCTTCCTGCTTGCAAGGTTTGCTTATTGTTTTCCTCCACGTACCATCACAACCTTGGCCCGTGCTTATTGCTTTCCTCCATGTACCTTTCACGACCACTGTCTCGTGCCAAGGGCCCCTATCTCCCACATCTAACATAAAAATTTCACTTTGATGTTATCGGAAGATTCCGGCAAACATAACACTCTGCTATTTTTGGACTATTTGCTGAAAAAAATAAATACATGAAACTCCGAAAATTATGGCGCAGAGGACAGGACCCCCTCCTCGACCCCCTAGATCACACAGGTTGACCTAAATTATTAACCAAAGCTAAAGCAGAATATATTTGCTTTTGTTGGAATATTATCGTTTTTTTCCAAGAAAATAATAAATTCAGTCATGAAAGATTGCTTTATGAGTGATTTATTTAATACTGTAACACCCATATCTTGCATTTATACTCATTTGATTGTATTTTGCATATGAGGTATTCTACAGACATATCGTATATACGATATTTATTTGGTGAATTTTACTGAAAAGAAACCTATTTAAATGCCCCGTGAAAAAAAGATACCGACAAAAATATATAAGTCGCATAATTAAACTAAAAAACTGTATTTTCCCGGAAAAAACTCGACTGAAGTAAGCCTCGGGTGAACTTAAAAGGAAGAAAAAAAACTCAAAATATTCATTATGTTTATTCAAGAAACAAATGTTTGAGTTAATCAATTTTGTTTTTTAGGAATGCTGGTAAATGCTGCGTAGGATACAAATGGAATGACAAAAATAAGACATGTGATGGTATGAAGCCTACATTACTTTATATTTTACAAGCATGCTATTTTCGGTCATAATATCGTGGAAGGTTCAAATTTGTCTGTTTAAAGATTTGAAACATTTAATGCGTTAAGAGTATAGAAAACAATTTAAAGCATTTTGAAAAGAAAAAAATATATCTATAAAATTAAATTTCACCACTTATATTCCACACAGCATTAATTTCTAATTATACATGTATTTCTCTGAAGTTTCTCAAATTGCAAAATCGATGATCTGATCTACCCTCTTCAGACATCAATCTAAGGAAGAATAGCCAATTTGCTAAACGTTGGTACTTTTACAAAATCAAATACAAATCAAAAATACAAATTTAAAATGCGTGTTATTTCTTTTTCATACATTTTAATGCTAATCTTTTTAGATAAATGTTTTCAAATAAAGGCAATCATATTGCGCGTGAATAAACCATTTCTTTTTTACTTCTCAATACATTGAACTTATCAAATAACGTTAAACTAGGGATCTCAACGAATATTCGAATATTGAGTTGATATTCGAATATTAATTCATGATTCGAATATTCGTTTTTAAGTATACAAGCATTAACAAGAGATAAAAACCTGGCAAGTTTTATTAGAAATTGAATCAAGTTTGTGCAAAATTAAAAAAAAAACCACTCCTCTTGGATTACCTTGAAGGTGTGAAGAGTGTATCACAGTAATTTATTTATTTGTTCACTTAATAAGTGGTATAATAGTGTCCAGTACCTACAATCAGCTTGTATTGTTGTAAGGACACAATTTTACAGTGAACACACAGACCCCTTGTTTTTGTAAATATCATTAAAATCATTATCAGGAAATTATAATTAGCAAAAAGTAATTGCTTTTAATAAATCACCGTTAGATACATGTAATTGTTCTGCTATGTATAAGTTTGAAGGAGTTAACAGTGTAGACTTTAGTAAGACGATCAATTAATCTGAAACATACTAATTAAAGAATCTTTGAATTTTCAAAAAAAACAATCATTACATTTTGGATATAAATTATATAATATTCAATAATTTAAAAAAATATATATAATTGCAGTGCATTTACCGAGCTCTACACGAGTCTTTATTCCAAAATAATGCCACAAAACCTATACTACTTGACAGGAGAGTGAAGATATATATGCAAGATGTATTTATTTTATCGAATATTCGAATATATTCGAATACTTCTATCTAATATTCGAATATCAATTATTGACAATTTTGACATCGCTACGTTAAACATATACAAATTTCATTTTGTTGCATTTCTTGTACCATTTTCCATATGAGCGAAAAATGTTCTAGAGGTACGTTCAGTAACATACAATCAATCAATCAATCAATGGTACCGTAAAGGTCTTTATCTCAGATATTCACTTAGTCGTTCGCATTTTTTTCAAAGTGCGTTAATATGGAAGATACGAGGGTTGATCCAAAAGTAATATCACAACTTTGATAAAATTACTATTAGTCAGCGTAAATTAACAAAATTATACATGATGGTAGCTACACATATTTCAAATCAGTCCTGAAAAAATCAGATTGAAATGATTTATAATTTTTAAATATCGAATTATATACAAAGTGCAATTATGGTAGTCGCCGCACCTCAATAACGACGTATAACGGATATGCGCCGTCACACAGTTTTTAAAAACTCTTCACCATCGCTTCATTAAAATAATTGATATTCATAAACACATTCGCACATTTTACTTTCTTTAAGAATTATTGTCACGAATTGTACACTCTATCAGTAAGTTAGTCCTTTATCAAAATTTTTTGAACAGTACCATAAGACAAATTTAAAAGTTTCTCATACAATATATCACTCAAACCGCGTGACACGAATTTCTTTTTTGACAACGTCGACGCCGTTGAACGTTTCCACCCGATCTCGTATCTTTCGGTCTTTCTGTCCTCATCTTCGCTAGCCAATGGTTTCTGATATGCTACTCTCCTCATCAAACGGTGAAGTCAAAAGACGGGATTGTTTTCAGCACGTGATCTCGAATCTATCATGTACGCACACATTGCGTCATTCATCGCCAGAAATAAAGACACGTGATAAAAAAATATTAAATCAAAGTTTTTTCAAAAATAATTAAGAAGCAATAATTGAGTTATGTTTATTCATTATTTGTAGAACAAATCTGAAGCTTCCATATAGATTCTTAATCACATATTTAGAAGATATTGGATGACACCATGGCTGTTCATAGAATTAAGTGTTATCTTACAAATCGTTGTTTACTTGCGTTTTTCATTTCCGACATTAAAGAGTGAAGATGTATCCCGAACGCAAATATCGTCATTTACAAAAAACAATTGCTGATTGGTCGACCTGGGTGTACTGAAATCCAATCAGAACTCTGGAAAAAAATCCCAATTTCTATGAACACCGTATGCCAAGGGTTCATGAGGAGAGTAGCGTATCAGAAACCCTTGGCTAGCGAAGATGTCTGTCCTCAGCTGATTAGTTAATTACCCACGACCCGCCCAAAATGTTTTACACATTCTATGAACAAGTCTCGTTTTCACATTATTTCCCCTGCGAGTCTGATTTACCATGGTAACTGTCTCTACTGGCGATTTCCGGATTTTATAGGAAAAACGCATAAAAACTCATTTCGGCGTTTTTTACCATTTCGACATTTACTTTCTTCAATACATCAGAGAAAAACAACAGTGTTTATGATAAAAAAAAATGTCGCCATTTTATTTTTAATTAAAGACTAGAAATTGTCGTCAATTTTGTGTTCTTTGAAATATTGGGCGATTAAACGCTATTTCAAATGCTTTTTAAAATTTGTTTGTCTTTTTATTCTAACAATATACACATTAAAACGTGACGTTTAGTTTTGACTCGGCGACACCCCCTATGTTTAATGTTTTTAACTTCTATAAAATGAATTCAATTACACATTATTAAAAGAAATTATCAATTTTGATTAGATTTCTTTTTCTGCATCTTTTGGTGCATTATATTTGATGATGCGGCGCCAAATATTAAAGATATGGACACAGTGACATTACTTTTGGATCATCCCTCGTATTAAAGAACTCTGAAAATATTTTTTTTTTCAAAGTGCGTTTACATGTACTTGATCCCAAATTTAAGGCACGTTGAAAAAAAGTTTTTTTTTTCAAATTGCGTAATTTTGTGTTGTAACACATTGAAGTTCTTATATCATTATAGATGAAGAGAAGAAGGATTACACCTATGCCCATGATTTGGTTTCTTATGAAAATGAAACTCCTTATTAGAATAGGGCATAATGATACTTGTCGAAAAGTGGAGATTTTGTAGAACATTTCTTTACAAGTGAAAAAAGAAGTGGCAAATGGAAATCCTATTTCTTTTTTTATTTAAAAAAAAAATAGATGTAACTATGTGTGATTCGATCATTTGACATATGTAAAGTTGTATTTGTAGAGAAGATATGTAGATATACCAATTCATCCCCCCAAAGGAGTTTTCCACTTAAGTGTAGTAGCGTGGTCCCTTTTTTTGCCCTTATTTTACAGAATATACATGAAGATACGGTATTATTTTTAGTTTCATTGTGTATAACAAAGTATTTCTAATTAACATTTTGTACAATCATTATTAATAACTTGCAATATCAAGAAATACAAGCCGATTTCCAACACCTACTGAACACACAAATTCCGGAACATTTTTTTTCGAACAGAGTACGGTTCCTCTATTACATACAAATGGGCGGAGACATTTAAATTAGGTATTATATAAAGGAATAAAACCGATGAATTGTAGCGTGAGATAAGAAATAATAAGCAATATACGATGGGTAATAATAATCTACAATACGTTTGAATTTTATTTTGCATCATTCGTATTCTTCTTAACTTGGGGTGAGTGGGAGTCTTTTTTAGTACTTCTGGTATTTTTGTCGGGGTTTTAAAAATCCCCCTAATCGCAATAATTTTTTAAAATCTATCATTGTTGAATAAAATGTCAATATATTTTACCCACTACAATAATTTTCTTTTACATGATTGTTTGAAAAGCACAGGCGATTGCATAATAATTAACGGTAAATACACACAGACATACACTACCATTCTTTTGTAATGGGGGGAGGGGGCTGAGAAAAAGAAAACAAGAAACATGAATTTGATAAAGCAAAAGAAAAAGATCGAGGAAATCCTTTTCCAAACTTGAAAACGATTAATGTAGAATTAGGAGTTAATAAAAAATACTCATATTTTTATTTGAAAAATTAAACTTCAACATTAATGTGTGTTTATTCATATTGTAGCAGCGTAAAGGCGTATGAAAGTTTTTTTTTTTTTTGGGGGGGGGGGGGTGGGTGGGTGGGGGTGGGTGAAGAACTCAAGATTTATCCCTGAAAAGAATGGGTTACCCCTTCCCCAGATACTATCTGCCTGACATGTATATATATTTCTTAACTTCGCTGTAAATTCTGCAATGAATATTCCGATTTACTTATCGATTATAAATGCATTCGAAGTTTTTCCGAGTTTATATAAAAAATTTTATGCATTCAGCTAGCATCCAAAAACGTGACAAGAGTATAAAGTTGCTTTGAATATTGAAGTGGTCAGTATGCGAGTGCATTAATTTTGTTTAGACAGTGATTAAATGTGAAGAAATTATTACGTCTTTGGTATTTTCTGCTTATAATATTTTGTTTCTTTTTCGCAAGAAATTGATTAAATGTGTATTTATATACATCTACGCGTGTGCTTTAATTTTCGCAATGAACAGGAATATTGCGATTACGTGCAGGAGAATTAAAAAATGTCCCGGAAAATCGTCAAAGTTTATCATAAGTGATATTCATCGAAGTCTATAGAGAGTCTTTTTTTATTTTAAAAAATAAAAGCTGGTGTCTGCACTTTTCAAATACGAGCTACAAGATTGTGTCACTGACTCGCTTCCTATAGAAAACACGCTTTCCAAAGGTATTCACCTGTGGCGGAATGGAATCACGTGACATATTATCTATTCTTAGCAGGTCAACAAGAGGTTAATCCTATGTAAATATACTCACCGAACAGATTCAAAATCATGATACTTTTAAGTAGAAGACATAGAGCGCAATGTTGTTCAACAAAGATATTTTCACACAATCTGTATAAATATAATATACACATTATATTTTGATGTCGACTTTGAACAAATCTGCGCTCGATGTTTACGAAAGCTCTGAAGTGGGTACCTGTCACATATTTCTTTTGATATTCATGAAAATCAAAGGACCCCACCTTCAAAACACAGGTTCGCGTGTTCTTTTTTGCAATTATTTGAAATTTTTAAACGTTGGACCATATACTACAGACATAAGAGATCAATGTAATTTACTTTTTAAGCTTTTTAATGAAAGTTTAAAATTTGACGAGTAACCGGGGACCACAGATAATGGCTTATTGAGACTTCTTTAAAACCTACTGTAAGAGCATATAAAGGTACATGTATTTGTTTACACTTTTTTCTAAGAAACTGCCTTCTTTCAACGCAATTTGGTAGATAACCAGCACATTTATTTACCAACCAAAAAGAATAACTTTTATTTTACAGAGTGTGACATTGGATATGAAGGATACAGTTGCACTAATATCTGTCCATATCCAACATATGGAATTGCATGTCAGGAGATATGTGACTGTAACAAATCCAAGTGTGACTATCGCTATGGGTGCAAGATCATTGCCGTAACAGGTACACATAAAAAATTTCACGAAATTTTTAGAGCTAGGGACGCTTACTCTCGCGCCCCTCTATAATTTAACACCCAACGTTTGTTAATATAATTTACATTTTGACAATTGATAATTATTTAGATGGAAAAAATAGGTGATTAGCTTGTCGCTTGATGTCCCTCTCGAGAAGTTTTTTACTCATATGGAAACAAAACAACTTAAGGGTTTTGTAAAAAGCTCCACGCGGGCGACTAATTTATAAGTAATTTATTTATCATTATAAAAAATTCAAAAATTAAATGATTTTTTTGCAACTTATTTTATAAAAGGAGGGGAATCTATCCATTGAAGTTATGCTTTATTTAACATTATACCATCATCTTGTAATATAATAGATATACAGTACCGACCAGACCCAACCTGACACCCAAGCAGTCCAAGAAAGCAGTCCCTGGGACTGCTTTGGGACCGCTCTCGGACTGCTGTGGGACTGCTCTGGGACCGCTGTGGGAGTGCTCTAGAAAGCAGACCCAGCAGTCCCAGCTGTCCCTGGGACTGCTTTCTGGGACTGCTTTGTTCATTCATGTGTGAAAGAGGTTCTGAGTGACACGATAGCTCCGCCCCCTTGTGTATTATGAATTTGCAGACTCCCAGTTGTTTTGTTTACTAGCAGCAGAGAGGAGTTTAAACTATTACTAAAGCAAGGATTTCTTACAGTCTTTTGATAAGAGATTATTATAGTTCATTAATATTTTCATAGACTGTATATTTACACAAATTTAGTTTGGAATATTTTTTTTTAAATAAAGTTGTTCAATAAGGAAGTCAGGAGAAGATTTTTATACCTAAAGATAAACTACAGGTTTATGAAAAAAAATATCTACATGTAGGCCTATTTTTGATTTAATGTAAAATTATGTGCACTCAAAATTTGCATTAATTGGCACTATCTAAAAATAATCATTACAGGTAGATATAAGATTTTTAATTGAAAAGCTACATGTTTTATGAGTACAACGCTAAAAAAAGTATTCCATGCAATCTCCAAATAAAGTCTAACAATTTATTAAATGACCATGAAATAAAATTAATATAATATGCTACCATTCTTTCGTAACTTAAACAATGTACATGTGAAACAATGTGAATAATCATTGGGGAATTTATCAATGAATTACCGGTAGTTTTTAATTTATTAACAAATTATCAAAAGGGTACATTTATTTTATAAATAAACAGTTGAAAATACCGGGAATTGTGATTTATTTCTTTTTTGTTTTGCTTGTGTTTACCTGGTCGATTAATGTTTATAAAATGGTATCAACACTCGCGGTTTCAATCGCCTTAGGGCAGAAAATCAGTGCATGTTATTTGGATATACGTATCAGCGTTTCACATCATTGAACATGCTGGTCAACAATGACCCTAATTTCACTCTAACGGTATGTAATGCAAACATAAAATTGATAAATGAAATGTGTATGATTTCTTTCAGGATTAATAATTTTGAACATTATCTGAGGGATCCATTCTGGTGATTTACAGATGTACATTCTAACATTTACAAATAACACACTTAAAATTGAGTATTTTAAAGATAGAGAAATTAGCAATAATTAAATTGACATGTCAGTAAGAATAATCATGACTGAAAAATAATACTTGGCAAAATTTTACAAAGAATTTTCTAAAAGCCCCTATACTTAAGAAAATTCCTTTTGAATATCCCGATAGTATGGAAATTGGCCATATAACAATAAGATCTATTTAAAACTAATTCTTACTGGTGGAAAATAATTAATTCACGCTAAATTTTCTGTATAAAAAAGAAATACCGGTATGGGAAACAGTATCAGTCACAGAAAATTAAGAAATTGAATTATTAATATACCCGATAATTGTGATTAAATATTCATGTTCATTTTAATTCATACATGCACATGTGAAAGCCTTCTTCCTTCAATAAATATTATTTCACTTTGTTTTTATGCGCGTACTATTCATAAATGACCGCGTACATGTAAGGAGTCCTGGCATACTACCCAGAATCAATTTCTACTGCCTTTTATAGTTCCATTGTTTATTGCAAATCTCATTTCTGAGTTAGCTCCGCCCATTAATTTAATAAACCCCGCCCACTGGGACTGCTTTCTGGGACCGCTGGGACTGCTCTCTGGGACCGCTGGGACTGCTCTCTGGGACCGCTGGGACTGCTGGGACCGCTCTGGGACTGCTGTGGGACTGCTCTGGGACCGCTGTGGGACTGCTCTGGGACTGCTGTGGGTTACGGCAAAAAAGATGGGACCAATTCTTATAAAAAACGTAACATTCTTATAAAACAAAAACACAATCATACATTATAAAAACACACAGCATGCTTGACAAATTGAAGGAGACTAGAGTAAATGTATAAAACCTTATAAAACAGGTGGAAGATAGGGGGATGGAGGTGGGCCAAAAAATTTCTGCACATTAAAAAACAATGGCTACATTGGTTCAGTAAACAAAAATCACGTGATCAATATGAAGATAGATTACAAAACCATCATGGGAAAAAATTGTTATTCCAGAAAAAATTGGAAAATTTTTTAACAGTTATCGAGATGCTATAAATTACTTAATGTTTTCACATAAATACAACTATACCATCATCTTCTAATATAATAGATATACATTTTTAGCCATGAGTCTATTCTGCTCTGATTTTTGCCAAACGGATAACATAACACATAGTTTGTCGAAAAAGAGCATTTATTATTGAAAATGCCAAAAATTATTTTACGTACATATGATACACGTAAAAATCTTAGGCACAAAATAGACAGTAAATCTCATGTAAAAAATATTTCATTACATGTATACAAAGATAAATGTGCCTAAGATATACACAGTACAAATACTGACATTAAAATAACAAATGTATTGCCCATTGGACTAGTTACGGCAAAAAAGATGGGACTAATTCTTATAAAAAACGCCATTAACTTGTTGTCAATTGACCACAAGTGGCCCATCCAGAAGAGAGGAATGGAAAGAAAGGTAATCAAGTCCCATAACTGTAGTAATTAATATATGTACTTTCCAAATAGACAATATGGCATTATTGAAGAAGAACTACGATGTACTTGTTTATGTATCTCTATTGTAATATGAATATACACGATTCACATCCTTAACCGCAGTTCGTTCGAAATGAGTATAGCATTTTTGAAAAACAAATCAGTATATATCAAGAATCGATAACCACATTTGTGTAAAAATACAAAGCACTAAATCAGCTATATTTACATATCCACTCCTGTTTAAAAACGCAAATCCAATTCTAATAAGTTTTCTAACATTGCTACTTAAACAATGACATACAATGATATCAACGATGTAACTTATACACATATATTTAGTTCCTCAACAAATATGACTCAGGTTTGGCACTGACAAATGAAAAATAAATGAAACCTTATGTATTTACAAATGCCGCCTCAGACAGTCATTTGAAAAATATATTTAGTTCTTCAACAAATATGACTCAGGTTTGGCACTGACAAATGAAAAATAAATGAAACCTTATGTATTTACAAATGCCGCCTCAGACAGTCATTTGAAAAATATATTTAGTTCTTCAACAAATATGACTCAGGTTTGGCACTGACAAATGAAAAATAAATGAAACCTTATGTATTTACAAATGCCGCCTCAGACAGTCATTTGAAAAACATGTAAAGTTACCTGGAAATCATAATGAACAATAGAACTTGAAAAATTTTGAAATGCTGCCTCAGACAGTCATTTCAAATATGTAATGTTACATAGAACCATAGATACATCATGTAGAAAACAAAAGAACTCAAGGTATTCTCAAATGCCGCCTCAGACAGTCATTTGCAAACATGTAATGTTAAAAAACTAGGGGTATTGGGTAATGGCCACCTTAAAAAATTGCTCACCCAGCAGCTGCCTCAGACAGTCTGCCTAAAGAATACAAAAATTGTCAACACACTCCTAAATCAACTGCTTTTAGAATCCAAGCTAGTTCCGTTTATGCAATTTTTCATTTACGTTATATCATAATCAGCTGCCTCAGACAGTCCAATTATAAAGCAAAAGCCAATTGTACCATAACAAAGTCAACATATTAACTTTCTACAATATGAATCACACACAGTTAACGGGTGAAATTTGACTGATAAATATTTCTGCATAGCTTTTACTGGACATATACTTTTACAAGTCTGAGCTGCTATTTGCAAAGACACGAGTCATGATGCTTGAAATGTCTGAGTGTTAATGTCATAGATTTAGTTCCCCCTCTTACTGAATCAATAGACAAATTTTGAAGTAGAACAAGATTTCTATTTGAATTCTTCTGAGATTTCACAGTTACTTCACCTACCCGCAGGAATGCAAAGAAACAGAGTGTAAACATGGCTGTCAGAAGGCGTCTGTTAAATTTCCCAGACACTGTGTGTTTAAGCGCATGTACTATCTTGACAAGAATATGAGGAGTTATTGGTAAACGGATATCTGGTGCATTGGATAAATGCTGAGCTCCTTTAAGGAGCTTCTTGATGACAAAAAACTGAGTTGGGTCAGAAAGGCCATGTATTTTGTGATAGTATGAAATACCTGCAATGTAGGTATTTATCGTATTGTAGGATTTTTTGTTGTTGGTATAACCATGCTATAAAAGACATAATGTGATTTAACTGAGCTGGAAATGTTGGACTTGGACTGAAATTTTTCCAAAAGAATTTATGATAAGCATTTAAAGCAACCTCGTATGACACCTGGGTATTTTTTGACATTGCAGCATCAAGTAGTTTTGATGTCGATTTTACTAAATGCGTAGGTACTCCTGAGGGATGTTGACTGGGCACTTGTCCATGTAAGGTGCCAACTCCTTGAATTTTTCTACCTGCAAACGCGAAAGTGAGTCTGATAAAATGTTATCTTTTCAAGGAATATTCTGAGATCTGAATAAAATATTAAATCTCAAGCAAGCTAGAACCAGTCTTCTGACTAAGGACATAACTGATGGTTCTTTTGAAGAAAGTCTATTAATAATGTTGACTACTGCCATATTATCTGAATGAAACAATATAGAACAGTTAGCCAAGGTTTCTCTCCAGATTTCAATGGCAACAACAATTGGAAAAAGTTCCTTGAATGTTATATTGCGATCTTGAAGGTTTATGTTCTCCCAACTTCCAAAAGACCATTTTTTACCTAAGATAGCCCCGTAACCTAAGCTTCCTGCTGCATCGGTATACAGATGAAGTTTTAGGGAATTTTGCCATTAATCGTCTAGAAAGATTGACTTGCCATTAAAATTGTCTATGAAAGTTTCCCAAGCTAACAAATCCAACCTTCCTTGCTTATTTAGACGAATCCTATGATGGGGCTTTTTTTTTTACACCTACTGTTAAATTGATGAGACGACGCAAAAATGCACGCCCCGGTACTACAACACAGCAAGCAAAATTTAACAGCCCAATCAAAGATTGAACTTCGCGAAGTTTCATCTTTTTGCGATTTTTGGCTAGTTTAACTGCCTCGCGGATTTTTTGGACTTTATCTTGGGGTAATCTAGCTTCCCACCTCACTGTATCTAGTTGTATTCCCAAGAAAACTATCTCTGTAGAAGGGCCCTCATTTTTTTCTGATTTAATTGGAACCCCCAACACTTCACACAAAGATATAAACTGTTGTAATGCTAGACCGCATATTGAAGAGTCCCTGGGCCCTATAAATAAGAAATCATCTAATATATGCAACATATTAGGGACTCCAAACTTGTTGCAAGCTATCCACTGCAATGCTGTACTGAAAGTTTCAAAAATGGAGCATGATATTGAGCAACCCATGGGAAGACATTTATCAAAATAAAATTTATTTTGAAACTGAATACCTAGTAACTCATGGTCTAGTGAGTGAACAGGTATTATCCGAAAAGCAGAAGCAATGTCAGTTTTTGCTAGAAGGCAATCACGACCGATCTGTCTTATCAATTTGATAGCATCATCGATTGTTGTATAGGAAACAGAGCATAATTCGTCAGGTATAAAGTCGTTAACTGAATGCCCGTCAGGAAATGACAAATGCTGAATCATTCTAAAATCATTAGCTTCTTTTTTGGGAACCAGACCTATTGGTGAACACTGAATATAAGCAAAAGGAGGAGCGTCAAATGGGCCAGCTATTCTGCCAAGTGAAATTTCCTTGTTTAATTTTTCTAATGTTATATTTGGAAGAGTTTTGGCTGATAGCAAATTGGAAGAAAAGCGTGGTTGCCTTGGACCCTCATAACCTAATCTAAATCCTTTTTCAAAACCTTAACATAAGAATTCTTTCAAATTTTGATGATACCCTTCTAATAGCTGTTTCAAAATAGTTGTCCGAACTGGAGTAACAACAGAACTTTTGTTTGCAGGGGTAGATGATGAGTTTGAACTTGAAGGGAAGGTTGATGAGCTGCTGTTTGTGGCTGACTTATTACCTCTTGGGCATTGAACGACTGAGTGACTTTTCTTACACTGGTAACATGTGTGTTTGTATTGACAGTTGTTCTGATAGCATTTTTTATTCCTGTGAAATGCATAGCAGAACCCAGGTGGTGTTTTCCTACTTTTGTGGGGCCCCCCTTTCTTTGAAAGTTTTTGCCTCGAAAATTGTTTTGGAAATTCTGATGAAAATTTCGAGATGTGGTGGCCATAACCCAATATTCATAATGTAACTGTCCCCAAGGGATAGACCTCGCCTCAATGTCTTTACGTACTTGTTTGTCATATGTCATCCATGACAATCCAGCATGCCTATTTGCCAATTCTCTGACAATTTCTTGATGTTTAATAACTGATGCAGACTGTTTTGGAAATTTTTCTGAATAGATTGCCAGAAATTTGAGGAAAGCTTTTGGCCATTGATCTATGGACTTAATAACAGTTTTTGATTTTGCTGAAAGTAATTTTAATTCAGAATTGCCTGTACTTTTAATTTTAACAGACCTGTCTGAGGCGACATCATCCCTTGGCAAAAGTTTACTAAAGTCAATATATTTATTTTGCTATATTTTGTTCTTAATTTTTGATTCAATTTGTGCGGATATGGGCGTTGATAGTAAATAACTTTCATCGTTATCAGACTCCTCCGATGAGGAATCATCATTACTTGTATTTGCACCTGGGGAACTTTCATCACTAGATTCATCTGAATCAGAGTTAGTACCTGAAGAGGAATTAGATCTGTCAGGTGACGCCATTCTTCTCCTCTTTTTCTTTTGCTCTCTGTGCCTTTTCCTGCCTCTAGAACCATTTTCCATCTCTTGTTGGGTTTTCTGATTGTTCTTGAGTGCTTCCAGGACTTTGTCGGTCACCGCCGCCACCAGTTGGTCCTGAACAGACGTTTCGGTCGGTTCCGCAGCCTGTTCTGCTGACCCTGCTGCCGCTGGCTTCTTCTGAGTCCGCCTCCCTCTTGGTTGGCGTCTGAGCTCGCTCATCTGCAATTGGTTATCAAAATGATATTTATAAATAAAATATATTTTATTCTTAACCACAGCTCTGGTTGATAAATTAGGCTTCATTAGTAAATACTGTATTTATCAAACGCATGTATTGTGCCACAATAACTTCATTGACTAAAAAAACATAGCATTAATGTGTAAAAATTATTATGTATAAGTACTTTCATCATGCAATACATGCATGTATCTAAATTCACTTAGAATCTTCATTTTAGTTCATTTCAATGAACATATTCACTGTGGACTTGATAAAATTACTTATCAAAAGCAATTATAAACAGGAATGCCATAAATAAGCACTCAAAATTTTAAACTTGCCTACCAACCATATAGGTGCATATAACTTTTGTAACCTTTATCCCCAACCATATAGGGGTAAACAATTTTCATCGCAAGTTACACATGATAAAACATTCGGGCCCCAACCATATAGGAGCCCAAGAAAAATATGTGCCATTAAAACTTCAGCATTGTTTGTGATTGCATAATTTTAATCACCCGTAGTCTTATTACACACATTAGTTGTAACAATCCAACGTGAATCACAAATAATTTAATCTATGAAAATCATCCTGATGATAATTAAATAGAGGAAGAAACCCCAACCATATAGGAGCATGGATATGAACAGAAAACCCCAACCGTATAGGGGCATAATTATAACTTAGCTGTAACCTAACTGAGAAACTCAGCATATCTCTTAAGGCACATATTCATATACTTCAACCAACATAAAAGATACTGCCCTATCTATAGAGCATATGTTATTAAGTCCCCAACCATATAGGGGCATAATCATAAACCTGTATTCAGAATTAGGCAACAACGCATAACCCCACGATACATACATGTATTACTGAACATTTATTGAGAAGCCCCAAAGATAAAGGGGCAGATTTTATAAACCCACATTATATATAGACATAATAATAACTTACAATTACTATAAAGAAATCGAGCATGATCATTTATGTACTGTGCCATATGATTATGAAATATTCAGAGTTAGAAAATATGTCCCAACCATATAGGGACACATATTATAAAGCAGGTGCAAGAAGCACAAGCATAATCCTTGAAAAAATTGTGGTGGGGGAATATCAAATACAAACTCCAAACAGTTAGCCAGGATATCTTGAAAACCCCAACCATATAGGGGTAAGATAATATGTTGTTCATATCCAAAAAACATCCGGTAGAATAGTGTAAAACAATTAATTAATAATTATATAGTGTAAAACAATTAATTAATAATTATATAAAAACAAAAACCCCAACCATATAGGGGTATGAACAAATAGGACATATCTAACGGATGCATTACACCTATATATGGTGATATTAATCGTCTTAAGATAAAACCGTGAATATATATAATAAATGTATAGCAAATAAAGACCAATGGATTATTAATATGATTAAAAAACCTAACCCCAACCATATAGGGGTAAGATTATTGTAATTCACCACGACCTATTTACCCCAACCATATAGGGGAACAACAATTCAAAGTTTTGGGCCTTTACTCTAATGAGACAATATTGTAAGCCCTGTAATGAACAGCAATAGAAAGCTTTTTATGTTGTTTACAAGTATATTCAAAGATGTATTTAGCTCTACCTTTGAGAGATTTTGAAACACAATTTAAACCATAGGCCCAACTGACCAAATTGGACTGCCATGTGTATTTAATTATCCGCCCGTGTTTCAATACAAAATGAATACCCACCATATGTTATGGTTTTAATTGAAGAAACTACTGCTGCTCGCAAATTATTATAATATTTCTTCACTCCTTGCGAATTCAAGTGAACACCATCATTAGAAAACACCATGTCCTGACTTGCAGGGGACCAGAAACCTGATAAACGGGAAAATTTTGATCCATCCACATTACATAAATAGGATGGTAATCTCAGATTAAGTTCATCCACTCTGTCATTGAACCAATTAGTATCCACTTCATAGCGTATGCAGTAAGTGGGGGGTCTTCTGTGTAAAGTTTGTAGAAATACAACATGTTTCACTGATTCTGCATAACGAAGGGATAAAGTCAATCAATTGTTTGAAGACATCTGCTACTGATTTCGTAGGATCGCAGAGGTCATTTGATACGGCTTGCAGTACCACCACATCTGGATGAATCAGTCTTACATAACGCAGACCTTCCGCCCTAATCTTTGACTATGTCACTCCTCTAAATCCTTGCATAAGAAACGTGAACGGTCTCCAAACTTAAGTTCAAATTTTTTTTCACACGATTATCCGTAGAATTACTTACAAAATCTTCCATTCTACTGACAAATGAATGTCCTAACACTATCAGTTTCATAACCATGATGAGGGCGAGTTACGTAATCGTTTGTACGCAGCCACAACTTCTACAAACAACGTTCTTTCCATTAAAGAAAATTAAGGAGAATGTACGGTGCACCGTCAAATGCTAGCAATTGTCTTGCATAAGAATTTTAGACACAAAGCAAGGAAAGTATCATACAAATCCAAAAAATTTCTGCACATTAAAAAACAATGGCTACATTGGTTCAGTAAACAAATATCACGTGATCAATATGAAGATAGATTACAAAACAATAATGGGAAAAAATTGTTATTCCGGAAAAAATTGGAAAATTTTTTAACAGTTATCGAGATGCTATAAATTACTTTATGTTTTCACAAAAATACAATTATCAAATTTTCAAATATGCATGGAAGTGAAAAATGACCTTCATATTTTTTTTCGAATTTTAAACACTTTGTGAAATGTAATAAATAAGATTGATAAGATAAATTCTTTTATAGAAACCATTTTTGCAACTATTATACTCTCTCCTCCATGAAATGCAAAAATGGTATAATTTTGTGAAGAAAAAACAAACAAGCATTATATTTGTTAGGGTATTTTTTGTATAAAGGCGGAATATATATATATATATATATATATTTAGATATTTTCCATTCTATTTTCTGGTGATACACGCAAGTTTTACCAAAACTATATTTCTCTTTCTTTTCTCCCAATTAATTTATGTTTTATTAAAACTCACATTAATATCTTTTTTTGAAATAAACAGCAATGTTTAATAATTCTCTAGGAAATAAATTAAGTTGGTTATGTGAGCAAATCCTGTTAAACTCGAAGGGCATCACAGTAGATTTAATCACGTACCACTTACGTTCATTTCCCGGTGAACTTTTAAACATAGTTGTTTATCACATTATCACTTATATTTCAAATGAATTAACCCCGAGTAAAGCCGTTTAGGCTGCCGTATTGTTGTGGTTTTACGCACAATGACCTAGAAGTTGGATTGTCTTGAACATGAACTTTTAAGTGTTGTCAAATCGGACGATTTTTAGAAATCGATTCCTTGCTTCATCTTTTGATATAATTCAAATACTAAGTATGTGTCAACTTTTGAAAAAAGACAAAAGTACGACTGGTAGGAAGTAGATCAATACTGCAATTCTTTCGAGTGGGGTTTTGCATGAATTTTATCACAGATTGATTTTTTTTTAATTTTTCCCCAGAAAATATTGAATAAAGGAAAAAGTTTTACCTTTTATACCATAGTGTAAAAGTTCTTTATTAACACATTTTGAAAAGTGCCCAAAAGAATCATTTATTTGTAACCTGCATTACGGATTTGAAGTTTATCACATTTCAGAGAAAGACGAGCATAAATTGATAACCAACATACCGGAAAAAAACTGGACTAATGGGAATTCGATGGAGATAAAGAATAGCATACCACTTAAAGATCCATGCAAAAAGTACGATTCTACATCAACAACTAAAAGACTTTTTATAGCAATAATATGTTTAGTTTTAATATTCATCATTTTGATCGCTGCACATATTGTATTGTTTGTCAAGATGAAATAGAAATCACACAATGTTAAAAAAAAATGTGGAAGAAATAATGCCACCAGACATGTACCTCATGTATCGGAAAAGAATTTTAACCCATAGTATACATGTAATCATAATAATAATAATAAAGACACAAGGTATCAAACTCCCATATGCACTCAGTGTCCCCTCCTCAGTCGAGTTCATAGATGAAATGGTATATGTGTTAATTTCGGAAAAAGAATTTTATTGGCTAAAAATATGTTTTAATTATCACATTTGAAATATATCTTTATGTTTTATGTAACACGAAACATAAGCAAAATTTAATTATTTATTGTCCGATATATTTGAAATTACAATAAAGACAAACTCAGTTAAGTGCACACCTGAAATTTTATGGTAAAAACACTTCAAAAAAATTTCCTATCTGTAAACTCAAATTTGAAAGAATTATCCAGAAAGGGGAGGAAGAAAAGCATTCTATGCATATTATTAAGCCAAAACCTAACGGGGGGTATGTTGTTTTAAGTCAGAGCAGCGTGATTTGACGTCTTTTACAACTTTTGACTTTTGCAACTGTGATATTTCTGTTGTGAAAAAAATACCTTGATTTTTGCTAAAGGGCAAAATGATAAGCTAAAATTTAACAAAATAAAGCGGCTTAGATCAGGAAAATATGTTTAAGTTTAACTTCAATTGTATTTTTTGATAAAATCAAGAATTGCTTCTTTTTAAATGTACTTTTAACTATATTTGCTTATTAATTAGTAGATTTAATTGTTAAGTCATTTCTAAGTTCTAATAGGTGTTGATTGTTGACGAGGAAGTGTGTGTGTGTGTGGGGGGGGGGGGGTGTATGAAATGATTGGATTCGGGAAAAAAAGTTTAAATCGGTGTAAATTGTTATTAATCAAAACAAAAATTTGTTTACTGCAAAATTGTTTTATATTAAGATGTTCTCCAATGTTTTCTTACCTTTTTCCTAGTGCAGAAAAGTCAAATTTTATGACATACGAGTACGAAAATAAAAGAAAACTTCATATATCTCGTTTATTTTATCATAAAGGTATACCTTTCTCTTAATTTTAATTAAAAGATGATACATGTCTTAAAAATATACGAATTATAATATTTTCACAAAAAGACCTTTTAAGACATTACCTACTATGCATAATGAGATTGTAAAAAATACTAAAAAAAAAAAAAAAAACATGGGGTGATACTTGCATTGTGATCCATTATAGTTTTTTTCATGCAAGTTGAATTACGATAAATTTGCTTTCATTATAAAGATACAAGTCAAATAATTTAGATACTTGTTGATTTTGAATTTACCTTTTTTTGATTGTTTGGTTCTTTCTAGCTCGATTTTTATTAGGAAAAGATTTGTCTGAAAGTAATCTATATTGGCATTTTACATCGTTTTTGCACGTGCTCCTGTGTTAACAATAGAATTTATAAAGATTCTGTTTTTAATACCTAAAAATTAAAAGCAAGTGGCAAAGAAAGAAATGTCAAAGTTTTGAAAATGTCACCCAAAGACTTTTCGAACATAGACCACCCTTTATTAGGAAATAACTATCTTCTAATTTGGTATTTGCGACCGTTTTTGCCGATTGAGCAGTCGCAAACCGAATTTTATCGGCGGCGCTTACGCCGCAAACTTAGTTTTACCGGCGACGCGTAACAGAAATATTCTGTCAAATGATTCTGTAAGATATATTCATTCAATAAATGCAACGCAGACCCCATAAAACTGTAATTTGTCTCTTTGTACGACTCTTACACATTTTGCAAGTAAAATGTGTCAAACAAGGAAGATATCCTCAAATAAATTAAAAAGCAAAAACACTGACTGGTACTATTTTCCTTTTTTCTATATTGGTTTACTTCAATGTTAGTTCCGCTGATTAATTAGCTCAGCTCTGATAGGAAAAAATAAGGATAAAGACACTTTAAATACTAAATACAGTATACCGCGTTATTTTTGTCCCTTTCAATCTTGTGAACATTTTTGTTTCGTCTTAGTTTCGCCCACTTACAGTTTCCATTAAGGAATTATACTCTTTGAATTCGCTCCACTTTAAATTTGCCCAACCGAGGTAGGTAGCGGAGAGTTTAATACCCTTACAAAACAATATCCGCTGGAAAAATAAATTTTTAGGTGCGTTTCAATTCTATGGTCGATACAAGGACCTTGTCAGCAAATACAATTTATCATTAAGAAAAAAGTAGACTGACGTTTTTCATTGTAATTGTTAGTCCATTATTTATTCACTTAATTGACGACGGATTTTTCGGTTGTTTTCTGGTCGTGACAGGGAGCACACCGCGGGTGTTACCTGTCAACGGGGACATGCTCTCTCCTCCATGGCACCTGATCCGACTTTTGATGTTTCGGAAGTCCGTGTTTGCTCTGTTCCTATTTTGTATTGTTTAATGGATTTTGATATTGAATACTGTTCCTTATCTCCATATCTCTGTACCCCCTTGCTTGTCGTTAAAGGCCACTAAATGGGGCGGTCCTTCGGATGAGACCGTATAAACCGAGGCCCCGTGTCACAGCAGGTGTGGCACGATAAAGATCCCTCCCTGCTCAAAGGCCGTAAGTGCCGAGTATAGGCCTAAATTTGCAGCCCTTCACCGGCAATGGTGACGTCTCCATATCAATGAAATATTCTGGAGAGGGACGTTAAACAGTATACAATCAATCAATCAACTATATATAAAGTTTGTCTGTCTTACATAAAGAGAAATATCAGTTGTAGGTCATTATCGTCTTCCTTGACAATTAAATTTCTAAACTACTGCTGTAAATCAAGCAATACCTACTTCTTTTGCATTTTATATAAAAAGGTAATACCACATAGCACCTATCAGACAATAAGTTAAAAAGAGATAAACCATTAAAGCAGAAAAAATATCGAATGATCTGATGACTGTCTGTTTCTCCTTTTTAAATATTTTCATTGAGTTTTATTTATTTTACACACATGATGCAGTAGTCGTACAAAAATACAAAATAAAACAAAGACAGAATTTTTTTACCTTAGTTTATTATGTATTAAAAAATAAGTTTTTACGTACTAAAAATAATGTGAAAATCTTATCAAGACGAACATGGTTCTGATGAATCATATATTAATATGCAATCAACTAGTGTATTTTTCTTGCCCGTGTTAAAACATAGAAGGCAAACTCTGCACGTACTTATGCTAGGAAGTGGTTCTTTGAATTAGTACTATCTTGAGACAAAGATACTGACAATAAATGTATATCTAATTGATTTTAATTAATGTTGGATTTTTTTTCTAAAAATGAAACCTGAATACCTAATAAAATGGTAACTGCTAATCCAGGTTCGGTGTGTCCTTTAAAATGGTCTTTTTTGAAAACTCTCTTTCACGCACGCTTGATAAAATTATTATATAGAGAATGAATATAAATATATATCAAGAACCATACATGTATATTATGATCTTTTTTACTTATATATAAGTGGGACAAATTTTGCAAACTCTGTGATCAAACTCTTTCATACCGAAATATCAAACCAGGCAAAAGTTGGTTGCTGCATGTCATGGTTACCAGGGTAACATGTCCTAGAAAATAACAACTTTCTACGTGTTAAGTTTTCCACAGTTAACACTTGCAACCAAGTAAACAAATGGCAGTTCCTGTATCCAAACATTGAAGGCCTGCTATATTAAATACCTGCTACACACTTTGGAAATTACCCATTTCATACATCAATATGGAGAGGAAGTGTTCGAAAGTAATATTTTCCATTCATTCATTTTTTAAGTCACAATCTTAAAAAAAAAAATATAGGTTGTTTTGCAGCAAAAAATCCTTGTAACATACACCAAAGGAGAAATTTTCTATTTGACAGTAGTTCTCATGGCTTTAATACAATGAACGGATTTCAGATTTACTCTTTTTATGATTTAATCTGATCTCAACTTATTAAACAGCATATCTCGATATAATTGATGAATAATTTTAAAGATTTGGCCAATGTCATCCTAAATTTCACGTTTCATAAATCAAAATTAACCACTTTATATAGAGTGTTGCCACGGACGTAAAAAAAACTCCATTAATTTCTAAACAAAAAAAAAAAATATTACTTGGATACTGTAAGTATGCTTGTATGTAGATTCCATAACATTCTATGATTGATATATGTATAAACAACTAACCCGACTTTCAACTTTGACTACAATCGAGTCCCTAAAGGGTTGTGTTTAATATGAATATAAAGTTAACAATCATTTCCCTTCCCTATGTAACTATAGCGAAAATGTAATATTTTCATATTTGTTTACGAATAAACAGCTGTATTATTATATTTTTAGCTCTACAAACACTATTAAGGACGAGTCAAATAAATTAAATATGTTTCCTGAATAAAAGGTAGTTTAAGTCCTAAAGCAATCCCCCAAAAATTAAACCACCGATTTCACAATGCAAAAAAAAAAAACCCGCTTAATTCCAAATTAGTTTGATCATGCAAGCATTTTTTTAAAAAAAGGTATAAAATTTTTAATTAGTTTCAGAACAATACATCACTACTAACTCTTTCACCTTTACTGGATCCTCATCATTCATCATATTTCCTAACTTTACTAATTTTTCTCTCGAAAATTCTTCAATATTCAAATAAATAGTTCAAAACAACTTTTCATGACTTACAATTTAGTTTACAATGTAAAAATTGGGGTCGCTATAGGGAGAAGACCACTAATTGTGTTCCATAGAACGCTATACAAACCTTAAGATCTCTCAGTAATTTACTATGACAATTTCAGAAAAATCCTTAAAAACTTCGTTCTTAGCTCTAACAAAAAATTCTGTAAAAAAAATATGGTCCCATGGCCTTTATAGGTCAAAATTGCAGTTATTTTCAACTTACAGCGATCAGCAGTAAATAACACGCTACATCAAAAATCAACCCCATTCCTAAACTATTCCTACGAAAGCCCAGAATGCTCATTCGAGATTGAAGTTTCGAAATACGAGATTCGAGATTCGAAAATTTGAGTTT